TATTTCCTCGTCCCTCTCATTTAGAAGTTGACCCATATAAATTTGAAATTGTGTTTAGCTTTGCTTACCAGGAATCAGATATTAACTGCAAAAATGTGTTGAAATAAGAAACTGCATCTCAGTGCAAATGGATGTTTCCACAGACTTCAGAAGCATTTCAAATCAAACCTGATCTCAAGAACAGCAAATATGGCACTGTATATAATACTTGTAAGGCCAATAGCAACATGTGCTTCTGAGACTTGGACATTTGAAAAGGAAAATGAGAGAGTGCTAGGCCCGTTTCAAAGAACGATCATGAGGAGTATCATTTTAGGCTGTGCAGGTTAAAGGGCATGGTTAAGGAGATAGAATTTTGAATTATGTAAATTATATTGTTATGTATTAGTAACTAGACACACAGTTTGGGATGATAATTGGATTTACTGGGTACTTATAATTCATAACTACAGTCAACTCTCGATTATCCGGGGGCGGATTAACCGGTTTGCGGCTTAACCGGGGCTTTTTTTTTTAAGTTTATATGTTGTTTAATATTCATTCACTTTTGTTTCACATGGTGAGTTTAACACTATTTTCGCACTAGTGTGAACCGAGCTCTGCATTATTTCGTCCCGTTATGCGAACACAATGTTCTAGGGTGGGGGTGAAAGAATGCAAGAATTTTTGGAAAGTTTCAAGGACAAATACACCGCCCCAGGTTATTTAACGGTACCATCTCAGTGTGAGAGTGCATTGTGAAAGTAAGTATCAGTTTCTTAATATAGATCTTCAAGTGCGTTAGCAAAATGTCGGGGTTTAAAAGGAAGCGTGTTGTGTTAAGTATTCAACAGAAACTTGAAATTATCAATCAGCTGGAAAAAGGAGCTGTAGTTAAACAATTAGCAATGCAATACGGTATTGGAGAACAAACTGTTCGTGATTTGAAAAAACAAAAGAATGAGTTAATTTCCTTTGCTTCGTCTTCTAATTCAAGCGGAATGAAGAAGAGAAAAACCATGAAGAAATCAACATACGATGATCTCGACAAAGCGATGCTGACCTGGTTTAATCAACTAAGGGCACAGGGAACAACAATAACAGGACCAGTTTGTGCTAAACAAGCTAAATATTTTTTCGAAGCACTTGAACTAGAAGGGAGTTTTGACGCTTCTTCCGGTTGGCTAACACGTTTCAAGCAGCGTCATGGAATACGAGAAATCAGTATTCAAGGTGAGAAATTGTCAGGGGACTTGTCAGCATCAGATCAATTTTGCACCAATTTTGATAGTTTTGTGAAAAGTGAAAATCTGCTGCCAGAACAAATCTATAATGCCGATGAAACGGGTCTTTATTGGAAATGCTTGCCAACCAGAACATTGGCATTTCAAAATGAAAGACAGGCTCCAGGTCACAAATCCAGTAAGGAGAGATTGACAGTCTTGTGCTGTTCTAATGCATCAGGAACACACAAACTAATACCAGTAGTTATCGGCAAAGCGAAAAGACCACGCTCTTTTAAAGGAACAGTAGCTTCAAGTCTGCCTATCCATTATTTTAACCAGAAAGTAGCTTGGATGAATAGAGCGATATTTAAAGAATGGTTTGATTTTAAATTCGTGCCTCAAGTTCGTGACCATCTAAAATCCCAAGGCCTACCTGAGAAAGCTGTGCTCCTCATTGACAATGCGCCCTCACATCCTAACGAAAGTCTCCTGAGGTCAGATGATGGAAATATTTTTGTGAAATATTTTCCCGCTAATGTTACCGCACTTATCCAACCAATGGATCAAGGAGTTATCTCAAGTATGAAGAGAATCTACAGATCAAATTTGCTACAAAAGTACATCGATGAAGGCAATGATCTGACGTGTTTCTGGAAGTCCTTTTCAGTATTAGATGCCATATACGAGATTTCAACAGCGTGGGATACAGTAAAGCCATCTGTATTGAAAAATTCATGGAAGAAACTGATGCCTTTCATCACTAATGAAGATGACGAAATCCATGGATTCACTGGATTCAGTGAAAATGAGATAGCCATAAAATTGACAAAAGTGGCTAACCAAGTTCATGGTGGTGAAGAAGTCAACGAGGAAAATATAAGAGAGTGGTTTAACTGTGACTCGTGTGAACCGGGCTTCGAAATGTTAAGCAGTGACGAAATCGTAACTTCAATGGGGGTGCAGCCAGAAGAGCGGGAAGAAAGTGAGAATGAGGAAGAGGTGGACAGTGTTGCCAGTAAGAAAGTATCACATGGTGCTGCGCTTAATCATTTGGAATCCTTACTAGACTATCTTGAGAGTGAAGAGGACAGTTTATTAAGTGACAAGCTAATATTACGTAGGCTTCGTACGGATATCCGTAAAAAGGAAAATGCCGCGAAAAAGCAAAAGACAGTATTAAATTATTTTAAGTGTTAAGTGTGACCGTAAAAAGTGCTGGATGTTGTTGAACAGTGATTGAAATAACTAATTCATACTGAGTGTAATGTAAAGAAAGTATTAAATAGGCCATGAGATGACATAGAAATGAGGATGAATAAATTTAAATACAGGTAGGTCTATAGTATTATGAAGGTATTAAAAGGTAAAAGGTAAAGTTGTTCCTCTGCTCAACGAATTAAGCCCTACGCCATTAAGGCGTGTGGGGGAGTGGATGTATAGATCCAAATTTTCTTGACCTCGGCACTAGTTGGAGGTGAGTGGTCAGCTTCACGCCCCGGCCGCTTTACCCCCGGGGAAAGAGCCCCCGGTACCCATTGGATAGGAGGTTGGATGGACCCCAGAGCCGGTCTGGACGATTTGGAGAAGTTAAAATTCTTGACCCTACCGGGACTCGAACTCCGACCCTTCACAGTCGTCCAGCCCGTATAATAAAATTTGGCTTAACCGGGTTTTCGATTAACCGTGACTTCCATCCCCACCATTAGCCCGGATAATCGAGAGTTGACTGTATAAATAATTATATAGTCAGAGTCAGAGTTACTTTACAATGGGTGGTTTACCGCCAATCAGTTCATCTTGGTGTCAGGCCCCTTAAGGCCCACGACCAACTGAACTCTTGTGGTAATAGTCATTATGTAACATCTTCCCTGACAAGAATATGGGAACTGATGCTGGTCATTGTTATATAGCCTTGTCATCAACATCATAGAAAACACCATTTCCAACAGTTCCACCATTGTTGCATGTTTATTCTATGTTGCAGAAATGTGTTTACCACGCCTTTGTCTAGCAACGGCCACACTTCTTGTTCCACTATTCCAGCTTTCAGCTATCAGGCCACAATATGATGAGCCTGTCCTGGCTACGCATATTACAATTAACAGTAAAGTAGGGAGGGGATGTCATACGAACGGATAATAATTGGACAACTAAGAGAATTTTTGACACAAGACAAGAAGGAAAAGTAGGATTTGGAAGATGTAAACTGAGTTGGAAGGATAATGTAGACCATGATATCAGACTTTTATGAGAGAGGAATTTAAAGAGCCCGGCATTAAATAGGGAAGAGTGAAAGAAGGCCAGGGCCCACTCACGGCTGTGGAGCATGATGATGATGATGATGATGATGGTGGTGAATAATTTCTAGCTTGTCCTTAGATTCAGTCCCACTCTTTCACTTCTTATAATATATGGTATCTGTTTAGTTCAGCATTAAAATTATATATTTTCTCTAGCTTTAATATTGCTGTATCAGTTATTGCTAACTCTGCATACTTGTGTATCTACATAACATATACACAACATATTTTACTGATGCATGTTGAATTTTCATTGATTGTCTGACACAAAAACAGGGTTTTTAATAAACTTTCAACCGTATTTATATTACATGCTTGTCACTTGAAATAACCACAAAGTTTTATTTAGTCACATGAATCAGAATTACAAGCAACCTAAAATGGTAACACAGGCCTTTCTCACTGTGTGGGTGAACTGTAATTGTGTGTAACAGGAAGAAAATTACCAGATGTTCTGAAAAGTGGGAGAAACATAAATGCAAAGTTCTGCAAGAGCCTGAAGAACCCCAGTCTCCTGGCCAAATGACAACAGACATTTATGACAGAAAGGCATAACATTATCAAGCACTTTAAGCAAGTAGAAGTAACATCCATGGAAAAGTGGGCTAAAGATAAGGCCCTTGAGGCCATGCCCCCCATGAACATCTTACAAAGTAAATGGTATCTCTGCAGATTTTGAAGCTTTTTAATGCCATACAACATGCAGATGAATTTGAAATTCATGACATACAAAATTAAAAACAGATCAGGAGATCTATTTTTTCTATGCAGCAAGGTGTTAAATATTGGGCCTGGTCCTTCTGTCCCTTAGGGACAAGCGATCCCTACCATGTTGTATTCAAATCAAAATATTTACACATACCTTTGCATGCACGTCACATTCCCCACTCATCCCACCTTTCTTATCTAAGTGACCAGTAGAAAACAGCAAATTAATTTTTTTTTTCATTCCTGTTGTTTATAAGTTCTGAATCCAGGTAGTCTCTGCAGTTGTTCTTGAGCAACCTCTTTATCTGTTCTTCATTTAGTATGAGAGACCAAGTTTCACAGCAGTATGAAATAACAGGTGAAATTATAGGTTTGTATATTTCAGTTGTTAGTTTCCATGGAAGAAAGCAAAAAATAACAGTATTCTGAATTGGATCATAGTCCATATTTCCTGTGTATTTTTCTCTTGATTACACCATGAATATCACTGTCATTTGTTACTCTTACTATCAAATACATGCCACATTTCTGAGGGATAAGCAGTTCTTATATTGTGATTTTGTCATGTTCTCTGGTCATGAGAGATGACCATTACTTCATTCATTTTATGTTAATTTCTAGGCCATCATGTGCAGGACAAATAAGATTTGTTGACCAATTAATCAACAGAAATGGTTGTTCTGATAAAAATAGGAATATGATCCTTGTCTGAAACAAAGAATTCTCAGAGTTTCAATGGAGGACTGTTACACTTTTTAACTGTTTTGTTTTATGATATAAATTCTAGGTGGCTCATGCAATAGAGGAGCTGATTGAGGAGCATCAGAGAATTCCAGGCAGCATTATGCGAGCACTTGTGGAGAGGGTATATGAACTACCAAAGAAGAAATCCAAATGAGGGTACTACAAATTTTGGGGCATTCTTGTAAATTAATCATATATATATATAAATATACATTGAACAGTAAGCACTAAGTGTAGTTCATTATGTCATATGAAATATCATTCAGTTCACATATGTAATATCATGTAGGACTACATTAAACGTGTCTAAGAAATTGGTATTATTTTCATATGTAACACAAGAAAACACATATAAATTGCACCTGATAAAAATTATGCAGAAGAGCATTTTTTGAATGTAAGTTTTTCCATGACACATTCCATTTTGTTGACCATATTTCAGTGCTAACCCTTCGGCACTGGCATTTAGATACTGTAATTGTGAGTGGACTGTAGTAATGTTTCTTAAATGCCCATTTAATTTTTACTGTAAAATGATTTATTTTTCATAACTGAACTGTATGAGATATGAAAATCAGTTTTCTACTGAAATCCTTGGAAAAGATGGATTTATAAGTGTACGTTATAACGTGAGTGTGCTGTGTATGTGATTGATGGAAGCAACAGGATTAGAAGGTGAGGTTTGTATGGTAGATCTTGAAATATCCATCTAAACATAACCCTGTTTCTTTTTCCTGTGTTTTGTACACACCATACATTTTCACTGAGGTTTTGCCTTCTTTCGGGTGGCAGGAATATGTTCAAGGAAATGTCATTCCATGGTTCTGTTGGGCTGCAAGTTAATTTATGGATGTCCATATAAAGGAGGAGGAACACAAAAACATTGTTTTTACCTTGAGGTTTTGAGCTAGTAAAGGCCTAAATTTTAGTGAATCTGTGTTCTTGTTATTTGGGAGTGACATGACCATTGCATTATGTACTGCCACACTGAGTACTTTGTTGAATAATTTTGTTTATTTCCAGCAAGTATGGTCACAGCATTTGATCCTACATATAGACTCATAACATAATGACAGTGTAATTGCAAACACCTGCAGGCTTTGTTTCTTTGTCTTACTTTATTTTATGTCTTGTAAAGTAAAATTTTAAAACTTTTTAAGTTTATTTTGTGTGCCTACTGTTATTTCTGATGGATTAAGAAAAGCATGCTTTTATTACAACTGTGAACTGAAAGAATTTTTGTAGGATCACATTTCCACTTATAACATGGGAATCAATGGAAAAACAGGGTTCATGATGTGGGCACATATTTGAAAACATTTCCGTTCTGTAACATGGGCATACTGTATTAAAACTGGTTAACCAGACTGTACTTAAAACTCTTTGTTAATAATTATTTATTGGTTTACTCCTATTTGGCTGTGGTATGTATATATCTTTAATTGTTCTTATGATGATTGTTATAAAGTTACCAAGTATTTTTACATATGAAAATAAATATATATACACATTAAGCTTTGTAGCATGCAGTACTTCTGTATGAGGGTTGTTGAATGTTGATTTGGATTTATCTCTTACAGAAAAATTACTTACACATGCAAGTATCACCAGAGTAGCACCCTTACTTCGAGATATTGTCTCTTTACAGTGACACATTTTTGCCATTGCCATGGCAAAGCACTGATACTGCAGCATAGAAAGACAGCCTGAATGCATACCCGGTTCAGGACACAGCACTTGAGTTCATTATTATTGAATTTCTGCTCTCCTAATTGCTTCTTCGGAAGCCCAAACAAGTGAAAATTGCTGGGAACTAACTCTAGAGAGAGTGGTTCCTAATTTCTTACCCTAAGGTTGCCAGTGTCAAATTCTCTATGTGTGGAACTGTGTTGTCACACAATACAATGATGTTATAGTTTCCCAGGTCTTATCTTAAGAAAGACTGAGCAAACAACATTGCAAAGCAAATTGCTGTAATGCTACTGCACATTGTTACACCACATGTATGAATATCAACATAAATCACCCTGCTGAATCCCAGGGGACCCTTCATAATCTAGCCAGCTGATGGCTGTCTTGATTCCTTTTTTTAGATAGTAGGGAGCCTTTGTGATGTCATTCCATGCTGCACTCCTGTTATTCTGGAGTGAAGTAAGCACCCATGTCTCTTCACAAGTGACTATTTGCCGCTGGAATGTTTCCCTCCAGTTCAAACTGATGCAAATTTTAACAGATAGCAACATACCATGCTTTCAGGTTGAAAATAAACATTTTTTAGAACCATCAATGTGCACAAATTCTTGAAAAATAAGTGTTCATGTTTCTGTGCTTCCAATACTTATGTAGTTATGGATGAAATATCACACTCTGTAATTTCTCTTTTTCCGAAGTCATCTCTTTGGCACACTGAATGTTCACCTCTGACAGCCATCAGCTGAATGTGTGCGTGTGGTCAGTTAGCAACTTCTTCACAGCCTTTAGAAAACTTGTTAATGCCAGTCATACACATTGGTCCAAAGTAGATTCTCTTCTCCACACTGCATTTATCCTGGGTAGAATTTTGTCTGGTTTCACTTTCTCTTTCACTGTATATTTGATGATGCAGTGATTCTACAGGTGCAGAGACTGGCTTTGATGTCATATTATACTGCCTCTAATGCACAGATATAGGAGTCATTGTCATGTGTCAGTAAGTGAGAGCAGTGTTTCTACCATGTGCCATGACAGTAGTTGTTCTTTTGGAAAATTTTAAAGTCCAGGTCAAGTTTGAACCACATCCATAATTTAACATGTGGCAGTTCTCATATTTTATAGGTTTGCACTTTGATATGTATACTTTAAGAAATTATGAATATAATTTCTCTGAAATTACTACAGAAGTTTTTATATATACAGGGTGTAAATAAATATATGTTACAGTGCTCTGTGGTAGACAGATGGTTTCAATCTGATCATATTTTTTTAATACACTAATGTCTGGATACACTTCTTTTTGGCATTAAGGATCACAAAAGTTTCCAAGAGAATGCACAAGTTTTAGGGGATATTTTACATTATAAAAGTTGTTTAAATGGCAGCCACCGATTTCATTGTGTGTTCTGCACCGCCTGGCTATGCTATGCTGAACACTTTAAAAGATTCTCTGCGTTTCCCAGATGGTTCCAGCTGCTACTGCAATTCTTGCCACAAGATCGTGCTGTGTCTCCACTGGAGTCTTGTATACCAGACTTTGCATGTACCCCCAGAGAAAAAAATCAAATGGAGTCAAGTTAGGGGAGTGAGGTGGCCAGGGTATTGGGCCTCTGTATCCAGTTCATCTGTGACAAAAGGTTTCATCCAAATACTCAACAACATTAGTGCAGTGTCAGGGTGCCATCATCCTGGAACCACATTTCATGACGGACTTCCAAAGGCACCACTTCCAGCAGCTCGGGTAAATTCTCTTGGAAATATGTCACCAGTAAGCCACAAGGGTAAGAAGTAAAGGACGATTAGATGGTCATCAATAATCCCTGCTCATGCATTGATTGTGAAGCGGTGTTGGTGGCTTTGGATATGCTTCGTGTTAGGATTTTCTTGAGCCTATACATGGCTGTTTCTGGAGTTGGAAATGCTATCCTTGGTAAAGGTACACTTGTCAGAAAAGAACATAAAGTGTGGGAAGTGAGGTACCTGTACAGTTTGTGAGCTGCCAGTGACAAAAGTTGACGCAAAGAGCCAAGTCATTCATCCCCATCGCCTACACCTTCTGAAAGCAGTAGGGGTGAAGATGCTTATCATGCAGAGCTTGCCATACTGACATGTGGTTTACACCCAGGTCGTGTGGAACATTTTGGGTGCTAGTATCAGGCTGCTCTTCAGAACGCTGGTTTACTGCTTCTTGCAAGTCTGGTGTATGGTGCATCCTCAGGGATTAGGACTCAGGCTGCCTTCTTCACACAAATGCCTCTCCAATCTTGGAAACAGTGTGTGAGCTGGGTGATGCTTGTTTGGGAAACACTGTTCATACAGCCAGCAGTCCTCTCTTGCATTCCTTCGGGCCTCACCATAGATGAGAAGCATCTCGGTGTAGTCTGCATTTGTGTACATGTCCACCACAGTTTATTTCCAATTTACGATCCACACGAATTAGTAAGAAACTACTAATCAAACTCTAGGTATAGTCAGGGACTGTTTCAGATGACATCTGATGCATTAGCATTGGTAAATAAACAACTCGCTCTATGAAGGTGACATATGCTACTTTAAGAGTCCTATGGGTTTCTTGCCTAGAGGTGTCCTCCTCATTTCGAAGGCCCTAGTGCATAAACAAAGCATTCCTGGACATGGGTGTATTAAAAAATATGATCAGATTGAACCCATTTATCTACCACAGAGCATTGTAACATATATTTCTTTACACCTGTATATATGTTCTGCAGGTATACTTTTAATCAGTAAAATATTTTAAAATCACTGTATATTCTGACTGTATCATGATGTCTAGTCTTCTGTATAAAAAGTAAATTTGTCCCTGTGCTTAACTAATTAAGCACTATGCCATGAAGGTGTATGGGGGAGTGTATGTGTAGATCCACATTTTCTTGACCTCTGCACTGAGTGGTCAGGTTCACACCCTGTCACTTTACCCTCTGGAAAGAGCCCTCGATACCCATTGGATAGGAGGCTGGGTGGGCCTCAGAGCCAATCTGGATGATGTGGAAAATAGAAAATTCTTGACTCTACGGGGACTTGAACTCCAACCCCTTGGTTGTCCAGCCCATAGCCAGTCGCTATACTGACTACTCTATCCCAGCTCCTCTTAGATTTATGAATTACGGTGGAAAAAATAAATGCACAAAATTCTGTATGGAAAGACTCAAAAGACACAATAAGAATTACAAAGCATTTCATCACAAAGGCTATGACTTTCTTGATAGTTCTGTGGCCTGGAAAATACTGGCTGTCGGGTAGGTAGTCACACCAGAAGGAAATACACTCTAGCATAGGCACTGAATGGGGATCCATCTGTGTTTTAAAATTTCGTCCATAAAACATTGAACTTCCAGATTTTACAGCAGCTACTAAAACAGGTGTCATGTAATATATCCTGTGACAGCACCTGAAGTTAGTCGGAGATTTTCGTAACATCTCAAATGTCAATTTCTATGGCCTATACATTGTATGGCTTGTGAATTTGATATTCTCAGAGCAGCAGTGAATATGAAGAATATGATCTTCTGGATTGTAATGTCATATAGTTGGTAAAGTCACCTATAAACTGCTTCAAATTTTCTGAGAGATGAAAACTACACATTTTCATACTGATTGCTCATTTCTGAATTTAGTTCATAGGGTCTTGTTCAGTTTTCTACTGTGTGCTGGAGCACAGTCCTGCTGAAAACACGTGGAACTCTTATTCATTTAATTATTCAATGAAGGCCTGCAAACTATTCCACAGACAATGCTTCAAGAATGTGTGTTAGTATATGCCAGTGGTAGCTGAGCCATTTGTACCTCACCCTTGTCATATTGAGCTTGAAATTGTTGTTTCAAAGTTGAATGCTTATAGATCGTCAGGTACTGATAAAACTGCAGCGGAAATGAAATGTTACGTTTTGAGATCCATTAATTCTGTTTGGAACAAGGAAGAATTGCCTTTACAATGGAATGAGGCAATTTTTGTACAAATTAGAAGGGTCATAAAACTGATTGTAATAATTATCAAGGCATATAATTCTTATGAACTTCATACACAATTTTATCCAGTATCCTTCTTTCGAGTTTAAGTCCATATGTAGACAAAATTATTGGGAATCGTTAGTATTGGTTTCAACATACTAGAAGTTAAGAAAGCACATGTACTTGCAGAAGACTACCAGAGGGCATGTGTTTATGAGAAATTATGAGATTATATGCCAAGCCTGTTAGGCTTTAGTTAACATAAGTATGTATTGTAGAAAGAGAAACAATGCTGCATGGAAATGAACTACGAGTGTGGGAACAGGGGAACAGCCCCACTGGAAACCCTCCTGAGCGATATTAGGATGCACTAGAAAAGCAACGAATGTTGGAATTGAAAATGAATTGAAGTTGTTGACTCCAGGGCAGTACATAAGCATAAAATGTGGTAGTGCATACAATCGTAACACAACACTGAATGTAAGAAATTGAGAAAACGCTGGGAGAAGTGGATGCAAAATGAATAGTTGGGAATTACATATTAACCAGAATGTAAATCTCGTGGTAGGAGAGGGGGATAAACATCCCATGTGATGGTAAATAGGAAAGGATTTTTTTTGAGAGTAAGGAAACCACCATCAATTACACGAGAAACAATTTTTATGGGGAAAGTAATATTGAAATTGGATAAGGACAACCAGGGAGACTTAACAAAGAGATTCAAGTTATTTTGAAACCGAGAGGTGAAACGATTGTGAGGTTATCAACAGATCAAGATAATTAGAAACCGGGTCAATAGATAGAACAGTGATTGCATCAGGAGTCATTGTAAAAGTAACACTGGTGGCAGTACATGAGGGCATTTCCTTACAAGTGCAGTAAACACGAATGACATGGAAGCAGAAATAATTAAGTAGACTTAGAACAGTGCAACACCGAAACTTTAGGTTCACGCGTAGTAACTACAAATACCCAGAGGGAGATATTGGCAGAAGACAGGTTGTGTGAGGTGAGAAAAAACTCCAGATAGAACATTCGAATGATGAATAAAGGTCAGTGATAAGAATTTATAAGGACTATAGTGACATATTTCACCTTCCTGGAGACACACTGAATAATACAACCGCCATAGAGCACATGATACCAACCTCCAGCATATACCCATGTAGAGCAAACTTATGTAGAAACAATCGAATACCAGGAGCATTAAGACAAATTAAAACGGGTAACAGAACAGATACTAAAGGACAAAATTATTAGACATTACAGTAGTCCTTGGAACTCTCCATAATTTTGGTGAAGAAGAAGGAAGATGCATCAGAGAAACAGAAATGGAGGTTAGTTGGTTATGTTAGAAAATAAAACCTTGTGACTGTTGGGGATTCCTTCCCCTCTTCCTTGTTTCTGAGATTTTGTACGCATTAGGAGAACCACTTTATTTTACAACTGCTGATTTTGCCTATGGTTATCACTAGGTATGACTTGGGGAGATGACCACTGAAAAACAGTATTTCCGACGCCAGATGGTGTCTGCTCAATCAAAACGAAGACAGCACACACACACACATACCCAGCAGGCCCAGCAGTATAACACACACAGTCACAGGAGTAAGACACAACACAAAGCACAATACACATGAAAGTAGGAAGAATACTCCAACAGAAGAAGATAGGTGTGACTCGCATACTGAAATACGACATAAGGATGACAAATCCTGAACAGTTTTAACATTTTTAATATTTAAAATTTAGAAATATATATGACGAATATATATTTTAGTTATTTTAGTATAAAGACAACAGGGCATGCAATGCAATAGTTCAACGTACATCGAAAAGCACCTGAAGATGGCACTTTAGTGCCGAAACATGTAGTGCAGGAGAGAAGAGTAAGGTGAATAAATGTATGCACTGTAAGACGGTCAGAATAAATCATGGACAGCTTAACTAGTTTCATGGGTGTTATCAGAATATTGTACAATACTTCCCTCCTAACTGAATCATACACTTTCTTGAAGTCTACAAATAGCTGATGTACTGTCTCATTGTACTCCCACTTTTTCTCCAATATCTGACAAATGCAAAAGATCTGATCTGTAGTTGATCTGTTATGTCGAAACCCACACTGATGATCCCCAATAATTTCATTTATGTATGGTCTTAAACTTGAGAGAAGAATATTGGATAAAATTTTGTATGAAGTTGATAGCAGTAAGATCCCCAATAATTACTACAGTCAGTTTCATTACCCATCTTGTGAACTGGTACAGTAATTGATTCCTTCCAGTGATCAGGCAATTCTTCCTTATGCCAAATAGAAGTAATTAGCTTATGGATCTTAGAACGTGATATTTCGCTTCCTGCTTGAATAAGTTCTGCTGGAATTTGATCACTACATGGCAATTTATACCTTTTCAATTTTGCAGTAGCACTTTCAACTTCAAAAGGGCTGGGATCAGGTATTAACAGCTCAGCTGTATGCATTTCTATCTGCCTAACATCACTGACCCTATGTACATTCAATAAATGAGAGAAGTAGTTCTTCCACCTATTCAAAATGTGGAAATCTGCAAGCAGGTCACCATTCTCATCCTTCACTAAGTTACTTCTAGGTTGGTAACCCCTCTTAAAGTCATTTATTTCACCATACAGATCTCTAATATTCTTGTTCTTGCTGTTCATTGCCAGCTCATCAATTTTGTCTTTCAGATATTCCCTCTTTTTATTCCTGAAATGCCTGCTTGTTTCATGTGTTACATTTTATAAATTATCCCTATTTATTTCGCTTGGATCCTGTAGCCATTGCAGTTTGGCTCGTTATCTTTGGTCTAGTAATTCTGTGCATCCTTCATTGAACCATGGCTAATGCTTCTTCAGTTCATAATTACCTACAGTCTCCTTGGCAGAAATTTTGATATTCTCTCTAATATTTTCCCAATCTTTATTAAGTAGGTCAAAAATTCCAGTTTTGACATCTTATATAGCAAGCCCGAGTGCCATGTTGAATCAGAGGCATTTTCAATGTCCAAGAACTCCACAGCCATAGATATTTTATTGTTGAAATTAATGTTCATGTGGTCCATTAGCCTCATACATTGCAGTGTCGTGTTGTGATGTGCACAGAAACTAGACTGGCCTGCATTAAGAAGGTCTCTTTTTCAATGTGCTTTCAAATATTTTCAGAATGACTTTCTCAAATAATTTTCCTGTTGTGAACAGGAGGCTAATCAGACTATATTTTGAGGGAATTTTGGGTCATTATCTGGTTTTGGTAAGGTTATGGCTTTTGCTTCCTTCCAAGGACTTAGAAAATGGGACAGCCTAAGGCATTGATTGAACAAATGGGTCAGATGTACCAAAGGTTGCCTTGGAAGATGCCTGAGGCATTCATTTGGAATGCCATCAATTTCACAAGGCCTTTCCCAATTCAAAGAATACATTAATTTCTGCAAGTCACATGGTCTTATCCTCTGAGGGAGTTGTTGTCTATGGCTTCAAGCAGAGCTTGAACTCTTGCCTTCACCCGCCTTTCGTGGTTTTCCTCACACAGATGATTTGGTGTGAACTGAATTTCTAAACTGTCAGCAATTGTAGTTACTATAGGATTCTGACGATGGTGTATAACACACTGATATATTGGGTTTCTGGACTTTATCCATCGTCCTAGTTTTTAAGATAACAAGAACACGACGTTTCGGAAACATCCAGTTTCCAAAACGTCGTGTTTTTGTTATCTTAAAAACTAGGACGATGGATAAAGTCCAGAAACCCAATATATCAGTGAGTCAGCAATTGTGTTGGCTTTGTGGGAAGGATGAAATTTAAGGCCTGAGGAACCATAGCAGTTGGTGCCTTTGGTCCATCCCTCTTTAGGAGAGATTTACCAATGGGCCATATAGCCTGAGGTGTGACTTCAGTGTTATCTATCTTTGTTTCCCACTATTCAAGTGCCCTTTTATCGGTCATTCGCCAAATTTACTTCGTGACCCAATGAACTGCTGTTTTGCATGCTGGATCCCTGGTTTCTTGCCACAATTTTCATAGCCTCTTCTTATATTTTAACAAACGATCTTGACCAGCATAGCCTCTTCTTATATTTTAACAAACGATCTTGACCAGGAAGATCGTGAAAGTGTAACTTTACTTGTCAACAACCAGTTACCGAAGCAATAGAGGCTGTGAAGTCCCGCGCCGCTTTATCGGCATCAACCCCCGAGTTAATTTCCATTTTCGGTGATATCAATTCAGAGGCGAGGCTTTGAAACCTAACCCAATCTGCGAATTTCTCAATAGGTTCCTAATTATTCCTAATTGCGATATATCCCAGAAGACAAAAACTCTACATAATGAGAGATGAGAGAACCGCAAATCATACATGATCAGACTACCGAGTAATCGCGGCTGGGGCCACACGAGGGCACAAAATGCGTCCGTTTTAACTAACGTCGTGACGTCCGTTGTAGAAAGAAACAAGAGAGGCGAATGCTACGCTTTTTTCTGGTTCAATTGCAGACAAAAACTACGCACCGCGTTCTGCAACTGTGTGGTGTAGCTCAGAAACGTCCGTCATAACCGTCATAACGTACGTTCGTTACAACGGACGCATTTTGTGCGACCGTAAAGACCGGTAAAGACGGTAAACTCTCTGCCTTTACTTAATCTCTGCACAATTTAGGCGATATAGTCTGTATCGATCGGCAAACGATTCGATATCTCGAAGAATAAGTTCTTGCACTTGCCATGATGTATAGGTTAAGGTACTGCGGTTATAGCAGTCATAGGAGCTTGTAGCTGGATAGCGTGAAAAGGTTTCACTAAAAACAATTACTCTTTATTTTTGGTAATACAGGTTACTTCCTTAGTGCTTCAGTATGACAGCTTTTGAAGGTGATTATCCATTTGATGTCTAAATATTAAACGCGTTTCAATCAAGTGTAAGAATTTATAAATCAGCAGAAACATTAACATTACAGTCAATATCAAAATGAAGTTTTTTATTCGGGAGTTAATGAATTGAATATCGTGGAACCGTGTATGTGATAACCGTAAATAATGTGTTTCTTCGAACACAATTTCCCAACACGTGGTTGTACGTGTGCAACTCAGCAGTACGTAAACTTTTCGCTGAGTGTGGGGAATCAGTTGTCTTACATCATAACATTGTCATATGAAAATAGTCAAATATCAGATACCATAGCCTAAACTTTACACTTACATTACATATTTGACAATAACAGAACATGAACATGAGTTAAATTTCCTCAGCTGTTTTGTGTACATTATGTGATAATCAGTCTTGGCTATTCTTTACATTCACTTATCAAAATGTCTATGGTTTCTTCAAGTAATTTTGATATACTTGGCCACAAAGTTAATGCAGACATTAAGAATGATGCTGAACAGTGAACCTCAAAGAACCGAGAGTCATTTCCAATTCTTTGGCTGGGTGATTGATTTTTATATAGTGTGTATATAGATTGTGTATCAGAGATTAATAGGAAGATAGAAAATTTTGCATGATGTGGAGCTCCATAATTTGTACTCTCCAAGAAATGTTGGGTTGATAAAACTGAAGAGGGTGAGCACCATGGCGCAATAAAAATGCAAGTAAAATTTTAGTTGGGAAACCTGGAAGGAAGAAACTGCTTGGGAGACTTGCACACATATTTAATGGTACTGTGAAAATTGGTCTTGAAGAAACTTTACGTCACTTAGTAGTTCCTTTACCTGTATCCCTTCGCAGCTTACCTGCACCTTGTACCTGGACACCTCCACTGAAGTTACTGCCCTCCTTCCTTTTTCTTGTGGATGTCGAAAAGTTAGGTGGGAAGGGAGGAGAATTGTGGTTTCTGGTGCTAATAGGCAAGAGTTCTTTTTCTGTACGATTAATAAGGTTGTCTTGCAAGTAGGGAAAGTCAGGAGTAGCTGGGTCCTGCTCTGTAACGGGTAGAGATGTGTTCTTTTCTAGGGTCATATGGCCCCTGCTTGGGCAGGACAGGAAGATCCTTATGCTAGAATCATGTACACCACTTCAAGACTTTTGTACTTCAGTAATTATTTAATTAACTTCAGCTCATTGAACACAACAGAAACCCTAATAGTTACACTTATTTGAATTGAACTTGTAATACTTTTAGTGAAGTGACCTAGTTTTTGAGTCTAATTTGGCCGAAAGTTGAATGAAGACTGTCTGAGGTAGAATGCCTTCACTCTGAATCCTGTGGTCTACGAACCACAGACTCCAAGAGAAATCTGCTCCTCCAACATGTGCCATTGGTTTAGTTTAAAAATTAGGAGGTTTCCTAAATTTGTGAATTTCCAATCATGTTGCTTTGCTATGTGATTCTGGCAGTTGATGACCTGATGCTAAGGTTGACAGCGATTTGCTGTATTAAGATAGGGGATCAGGCTCTGGCACTCCCACTTCTAAGTTATAGCTGTTTCAAACTGTCAGCTGTCAGATGACAGGTCCACAGTCTCTTCCAAAACAATTCCTCCACTTATTGTGATCTAGAGCTTTCTCCTTCAAATGAGAATTACCTCTTCTGTCCCCAAGGTCATCCAGCATCTTCTTACATCATCTTCCTCGTCTTCTTGTCACTTCTATCCGCCCCTCTGTCTTTCCTTCAATAACTTTTAGAAGGCAGTTTCTGCATAAAACATGACCAATCCAATTAGCCTTCCATTTTCTTATTTCATGTAGGATATTCCTCTGCTCACTGACTAATTAACTCTTCTTCATTTCTCACATAATCAGTCCAACTGATCTTCTCCATCCTTCTCCAACACCACATTTCGAAGCTTTCCAGGTGTTTCTGATCTACTGCCCTAAGTGTCCAAGTTTCAGCTCCATACAAAGCGATACTCCAACTGTAGCATTTCACTAGTTTCTTTCTCAAATTTAAGTCCAATTTGCTGGTAAAAAGATTCTTCTTCTTCCTAAAGGCAGCTTTTGCCATGGCAATCCTGGATTTAATTTCACTAGTACACCTTCCATCGTCTGTTAACAAGCTACCCAAATATTTAAAACTACATGATTTTAACTTAATATAAATTTAATTAATACAAAAGGGTCCTGCAAATTATAATGAAAGGTTACAAGTGACAGTGAAAGAAATTTTTCTACCCTTCTCTTATGGTGAGGTGGGACCCGTAGAGGTTAAAGGTGATCCTCTTTGAATTTCATTCTTCTCCTTTATCATGTTTGCTGTTAAATTCATTTTCTCCCTTTCTTGGCTACTAACTAATTCACTGACTTTGACCCACTCACTTGATGATGCTTTTACCAATTTGTTTACTTCCTGCACAATTGGCTCTCTTAGTGCAAATGGAATTATTCTAGTTGTTTGCACTGGTGATCTAATGTATAAGTCAGAATTTGAAATTTGTAGTCTCCCAATATACCCATTCCTTGAAACACCATTTCACTGGTTCTTTAAGTGTAATGCACTGTTTTGACCACATACTGTCTACAGTCTCCATTGGGCTTAAGCTATTGTATGTACGAGGGTAATTCCAAAAGTAAGGTCTCCTATGTTTGAAAATATAAAATAAACATTTATTTTCAATTTTGGATACATCAGTTGAATCTTGAACATGTACTCATTTCTCTACATAATCGCCATTTCGGTCGATGCATTTTTGTAGGCGCAGTGGCAGTTTTTGTATGCCCATGTCATACCAGTTCACCTCCATGCTGTTCAGGAAACTTCGAACCTCAGCTTTCACCTCATCGTCGTTGTTGAAGCGCTTTCCAGACAAATGTTCTTTCAACTTTGGAAAGAGATGGTAGTCACTGGGCGCCAAGTCCAGACTATAGGGTGGATGGGTGATGATGTTCCATCCAAACTTCCAAACTATTGCAGTTGAGCGACGGTTTGTCGGGCAGCATGGGGGCGAGCGTTATTGTGGAGAATGCTTACGCCCTTGCTCAACATCCCTCTTCTCCGGTTCTGAATCGCCCGCCTGAGTTTTCTCAGTGTCTCACAATATCTCTCAGCGTTTATTGTGGTCCCAGTTTCCATAAAGTCAACCAACAATACCCCGTTTCGATCCCAAAACACAGTTGCCATGACTTTACCGGCAGACTGTGTTTGCTTGAATTTTCGAGGCTTAGGCGAAGAGGAATGCCGCCACTGACGTGATTGTTGTTTTGTCTCAGGTGTGAAGTGGTACGCCCAGGTTTCGTCGCCTGTGACAATTGAATTCAAGAAGTTGTCCTTTTCGTCAGCATAGCGGCGAAGAAATTCACGGGAAGAGTCAACTCTCTGCCGTTTGTGGTCTTCCGTGAGCATTCGCGGGACCCATCTTGCGCACACCTTCCGATAATTCAACTTCTCTGTCAAAACCCGATAAATGGTGGTTCGGGAAACCTCGGGAACCGAAATGCAGAGATCATCGAGTGTGATGCGCCTATCCTGACGCATGACTCGCTCAATCTTCGCGACTGTCTCGTCAGAAATTGACGGTCTCCCAGTTCTTTTTTCGTCGTGTATTGCAGTACGACCAGATTCAAACTCCCTACACCACTTGCGGACGTTCTTTATGTCCATGCACGACTCGCCATACACTTCCACCAATTGACGATGAATTTCAATTGGTTTAGTCCCTTTTGCGTTCAAAAACCGAATAACTGCGCGAATCTCACACTTCGCGGTTTTAGTAATCGGGAGCTCCATTTCTAACGGCAACCGTGCCAAGACTGAGCGTCCTAGCTATGTGCGCGCATGCTTGGTGGTATTGGGGGGAGTGGGGGAAGCAACGAATGCAACAGGGTTGCCAACAGCCGCACGAAAAATTACCCAGCGCTTTGGAGACCTTACTTTTGGAATCAGCTAGTATACAAGAGTTCCCTGACCTTTCTTGAGACACACTTGATCTCAGAAATTTACCAGAGTTGTACATATTACAGCTTGGATGAAAGAAAAATTACATGAGCATTCAGCCATATGCAACATTGACAGTTCTTATGACTATTTAAGTGTTTGTTTTTGTAACATTTGGTGATATGGATGTTGACACACATATCAAAGTAGAACATTTTGTTTACTTGTTGGATAGTTAATATTTTTTGTGCTAGTTTATAGTTAGTAAGGCTGCTGTTGTTTGGACTTTACATTTGTTTTAGGTTAATGTTTAGATTATATTACATATATCATATGTTTGTAGTATGTATTGTTTCAGTATCTTTTTTCATACTCATTATGGCTGCCAACAAAGTGCCAAAGTTATGGGGTGGCTTCTGACTCACAGACTTACTTCTGTGTGGTTAAGTATGTATATGTGAATGTTATATTGCAGTCATCTCGGTTATGACACCTTGTAATCTAAAATGTTGTCATGTGTACAGGGTGACTATAGATGGGGTGTGGATTAATAATTGGATTTATTGAACACTTACGGATCATAACTACAAGTAACTATAGTGCTGTCGGTAATTCACACACACTACAATTCATTGCAGCACACACTAAGTCTTTGCAGTCTGCTATGCCTTCACCTGTTGTTGCCTGGTAATGGCATCAGTGCCATAGCTTCCACAGCTTCTGTCTCACATTCACAGCCGCTCCTCATTTTATAGCCTGAACACGGATCACAAAGAAAACATCCATCCCAACAGTTCTTATATTACAAATATAAATCACTCAGTCCAATGTGACCTGTAAGTTTATTACTACAAGAAAAACTTAACGCCCTTACATGTTGCGGTCTCTGCGGACCATCTTCAGAGGGCAAACATCACTACAAATAGGAAACCACCTTCACATAAGTTGTTTAGACGTAAAGTACGTTCACTTATATGTTACAATGCATAGTACACAAAATAGAACATTTCACAAACACAGCAGTTTCCTGGGGATGTAAAGTTTTTAAAAAAAAATATTTAAAATTTCTTGATGCTAATTAAAAACTTTTTGCTTTGTCAATAATTGGACACATTGGACAGAGTGATTTACATTTGTGATTGTTAGTGTGACGGACCAGAATGAAACAACTAAAAAAAAAAGTTCTTATATTGTTGTATCACGTGGCGGTTGGCTCGGACTGCAGAGAGAACACCATTCTTGTGTTACTGTTTACTGCCATTATCTGGCAGCTGTTCCTTACAGTTGTTACTTAGCAATGGGTCTACATGATACAATATACACATATGTGTTTTGTATGTTTCAGGTATATTATGTATATTGTCACATATATTAGTGACTTACAGATGGGGTGCGGATTGGGGAATCTATTTATTGGATAATCACACGTCATAACTACAGTTGGTTCTTACACTCTCAAAATTACTGTCTCTATAACACACTTGAAATAACATCTTGACCTATTCAGCTGCCTTTTGAATTCTCTTCAACTGCATGCTTTGGTCTCACCCAGCCTCCTTACGTAACCCTTGAGCCGACTGCATATATCACACTGTTCCCAACAGTTAATATTATCGCGTTCCTCCATTGCTTTGCTTTCAGAAATTTGTTGCCGTGGATATCGGCTTTCAACAGTTAAAGTTACACTGCTTTCAGTGAATCATAATAACTAGAACCGTTGTGTGGCAATGGACCCCAATTCTTGCAGTGCTTGAGAATGCATTCACCCAGCCATTGGCTGGCAATGGACTTCACTATTCTGGCTTTCAGGTGTCATGTCACAATATTGTCGCGTGTTTGCTGGGCAACACGACAAATACTTGTGGGTTCGCAGATTTGAACAAGTATTTTATTTGGCAGATACTTTTACACTTGTAAGTACAATTATCCCACTTACAATGCCCTTTAGACATTTCTTCTTCACTATTACAACTTCTTGCACCACTGTTCTCGGCGAAGTGTCTTATGCTCTTGCTGAGTACCAACTCTGCTCTTCTAAGGTCAGATACAAACTGAACTCTGCTCCCATCGAATACAAACTGAAAACTCGTCAGAACTACACTGACTCTTGAAGCGTGCCCTTGGACTGACTAGGGAACATCGTGTTCAAGGGTTTCGTTTTATCTACTGGTAGTCTTCATTTCCATGTATATCCTTCCATTTCCGGAGAAACACATTTGTTGTTTAGGCGATTCCTATGCAACTTTGTGCTGGTATTGTGTTTCCACTGAAATATACATTCTTATCGGAGCTGTTGCCTATCAGTAGACGTCCTATCGCCCGGCGTTTTGGCGGCATGCCACAACATTATGTGTTAATAAAATAATTTTCTTTTCTGCAATTTCATTTGCACTGTCAGTATTAGTAGATATTAGTGGCCTCGTAGTCTATGGGTAACGTTCCCACCTCATGACTCAAGGTATGCGGGTTCAAACCCGGCGGAGGTCATGGAATTTTTAAGGGTGGAAAAATTCAGGGAACAAGTCCTCCGGGAGGGACTTTAAGCTGTGTGTCCCGTGTCATAGATTTACGGCACGTAAAAGATCCTCATGTCTCTAGGAGACCTCTGAGTAAAATTAGGCAAAGTTTCCCGCCCAAATAGTTTCCAATTCCTCCGGTAGATTGGGAAGTATCAGGGACCACTGCCAGCGAGGTCGGCCGAACTTGCTGGCAGAACATGGCTGATAACGGGCACCAGTACTGGAAGGGCATGGCAACGGTAGAAATTAAAGGGGGACGCACAATAGATCAACAACTGGTCTCAGTGCATGGGAAACCCACCCCCTCCAATAATAATAATAATAATAATAATAATTAGTAGATATTCTTTTGTGGACTTTTTGTGAACTATAGATTTTAGTCTAAAAATTACTACAGTGAAAACTGTGTTAGATGTAAAACTGCCTATAGCAGAAATGTCTTGTGGCCCTGCGAATTTTTCACATACTTTGATGTAAATCAACCGGAGATGAACAGAAAATGTCTAAGCTGTCTAAAATGGAAATGGAAAACAGCTAAAAAACTTCACCAGAAAATCGTCTTAATATTTTGATTTTTCCTCCCAGTACTGTATGAATTAGCCTCCCTCCCAGTATTCTGCTTCCCATCTCTGACTTGTCTCTCATTTCTGTTGTTTGTTAGAAGGTAAATCTATTTTTGAGGGTAACTAAGTGAAGGCCAAGGGACAGAAGTGGGACAAAGGACACTGGGAAATCGTCCCATCCACCTCATGTCTCACTCATCTGACCCCACATTGTGGTATCTCTACATGTTTTAAAATTGCATTCCTGAGAGTACTGTGACGCTTAGAGCAAAATGTTTACCGTTATGCAATAGAAAACCTTGCCACCGAGATTTTTTATTTTTCATTTAGTCGTATCCATGACCACCAAGAAGAGAGTAAGTAGTGCTTGGTCTTAACACAAAAGTAAAAGTGGTAGAAGCAAATGAAAAAGACAAGTTTTCATTGAAAGTAATTGTGACAAATTTTAACATGGAGAAAACTCAAGTGTATAACATAATAAAAGCCAAGTCAGAAGTAAGAGATCAGTAAAAAAATTGGTTCAGCCAGACAAAAACTAAGAAGAACTGAAAATGAAGTCCTTAATGAAATTACATGGAGGTTGTGTCTATTTTTTTTTTTTCGCTTAGTGGGGGTTGGAGTCCAACTGGGTCCACTCAGCACGATGGCCACTGATTGGCCTGTTGTAGCCTGCCCCTGTTGATTATGATGATGAAGAATTTGGTGGAATGAAGATTGGCAGGGGAAACCAAAGTACTTGGAGAAAACCCGCCCCAGCGCCACTTTGTCCACCACACATCCCATTTGACTAGACCCGGGATCGAACCCAGGCCGCCACGGTAGGAAGCGAGTGACGAACTGCTTGAGCTATGGCGCGGCCGGGGTTGTGTCTAAGTGTGAGAGCTAGAAATTTTTGAATACATGGTTTAGTGGTACAGAAGTATGGTAAAGTAGATGTTAAAATTTGGTTAAAAGTAGCTTTAAGATGTCTTAACAGATTGGTTGGAGAGTTTCAGAAACTGGGATCAGATTGTTTGTAATGAAGCCTGTATGGTGAATCTAGTGACGTTAGTGAGGAAACTGTCCCAAATTTTGTTGCCAAATTACATTCAATAATGAATGGATATAATCCAAAGGATACTACAGATGATGATGAAACAGGATTATTGTTTCAAACTCTATGTTTTAAAAGTGAAAAATATCCTGCTAGAAAACTTTGCAAAGAAAGGTTGAGGTTTCATTGTCAGTTATATGGTTGGATAGATGGAAGAGCCTTTCATGATAAGGAAAGATTATAAACCAAAATGTTTTAGGAACAATGACATAAGGAACATCTCTGTTGACAGGAAATCTAACAGGAAAGCCTGGATGACATCTCATATCATGAGGGAATGGCTGAAAGCATTTAATACAAAGATGAAGCAACGGAAACATTTTGGGACAGTGTGACTTGCTGTCCTCGAATTGAACTCTTAAATGTATGGCTTGCATGGTTTTCCCCCAGTACGAGAACTGTATCTCAACCCATGGACAAAGGAGTTATAAACTGTATAAAGCTGAACTACCAGATGCTCCTCTTGTGATCTTTGGTAGCCCACATGGAAACCACATCTCCTCCCACACAACTTGCGAAGTCTTTTTCCGTCCTTGATGCTGTAATCTGATGCTGCAAAACATGTCTCTGCAAACTGCATGGAGAAGTTTTCAGAAAGCAGGATTTTCAACCACGAGAGTTTACTGATGACAAAATGTTTAAAAACAACATCCAAAAACTCGAGGTGTATCTCAGTCAGGCTATATACAAAAATATTAAGGCAGAGGTTACCTAAACGTTGATATTGAGGTTGAAACAGAAGCTCGTGTTAAGTAAATTGACGACTTCAGTGAGTATCACCAGCAAAGTAAGGAAGAGGAAGATGATTGGAAGTAAGGAGCAGAAGCAGATGGTACTTCCCAAGAAAACTTGAGTTCAAGCTTTAAGACATACCATAATGTTTTAACTCGCGTCAAAGAATTTTCACCACATAACAGTAATTCCAAACTTCTTTAAAAAATTTTAAGGGCTTGAATTTTGATTGAAAACCAGGCCACTTGATCAGAAACATATATGCAGAGATCTTGTTGGAAACAATAAACAGTTTATATAATGTGAGTAAAAGAGTGTTACTTTTGTATGAGGCATGAGGTAATATGGTCTAAAAAACCTTAATTTAATTTCAAGTACCTGTATAAAATGAAACCTGGCCATATTGGAAAAAAATTTCAGTTCTTTGCAGTTCCATTTTATGCAGGTTTCACTATATTATAGACACCAATAAAGAGGCCTTCTAAATACATAATTCAGATCTAGTAGAAACTCTACTTACCAATATGCTTTAAACAAATCTTTTTATATCAATCAGTGTATGTGCTGGTAAGGTGGTGGACTAGGCATCTGCCCCCTCCCTTGGACTTTTTAAAAAAGAAAGAAAATTTATGAAAAAGAGGAAATATGCTATATGTTATTAATACAAATTTAAAGCCTTTTAACTAGTAAAAACAGTGTTGAATGTAAGTTTGTAACCAAATTTTCTGACTCCTCCTACCCCTGGAGATATTCATGGTGTCACCTGTGGTTGTCAGTGATGTAATTCATCCCCAGTCAGTAGATCAGTAGCATACCTGAAGTCTAGAGAAAATGCTTTATTCCTAGCAGTAGAATATGAATACCTTCCATTCCCTGAGCAAAGGGCCATGAAAGCTTCCCATTACCTCAAGTATTAAGGTGTAATCTAAGCATTGTTTGGTAATATTTATTCATACAGGTTTATTTTAATGAGAATACAAGGGAATGTGTGTAATGTTATTTATTGGAGGGCCAGTGCCATTGTGATGAAACTTTCATGCACAGCTCACATTGCAAGCAGCAGACAACATGGCATTCGGTGTTCTTGGATGTGCCCTCGGTGGAGCATTACCTCAAAACAGAACCATTTTAAACAACCCAGAATGATTCCAACCACTGATTTGGATGTTCAGCACCAGCAAAATCCGTGATGTGGAAGTTTATAAGAGCTCAGGCCAACTGGAAATGTGAGCGTACCAAACATGTTGGGCCGCGCCGTAGCTCAAGCAGTTAGTTGCTGGCTTCTCAGTGCAGCGGCCCGGGTTTAATCCTGGGTCTGGTCAAATGGGGTCTGTGGTGGACAAAGTGGCACTGGTGCAGGTTTTCTCCAAGTACTTCGGTTTCCCCTACCAATCTTCATTCCACCAGGTGCTCCACAATCACCCTCACCTATCATCTGGGGCTGGTACAATAGGTCAGAAGTGGCTGCAGTACAAGGGACTTAGTCCCACCCCGCTGGCAATAAAAAAAGATAAAAAATAATGCCAAACATATTCACCAGTCAACTGTTACAGAGACTTGTATAACAGAGGCTCGTGAGAGATTACGTCCAAGGACATGCAAGCCATTATAAAATTTTGCATAGAAGGTTGGTGTCATACAGCAGCTATTGCAAAGCAGTGAAGATATTGCAGTTTTCTTTTCATACAACTCCCGACATTGACAATTCACGAATTTCTCAGCAACATTACTGAAGAAGAAATTTCCAAAGCATGGTTCCAACATGACAGGGCAACATGTTACACAGCGCAGGCAAATATGCTTGAGTTATCCCTGTTGTTCAGAGATGAAATCAATTTGAAAGAACTCCGGCCCCAAGCTTACTGGGTTTGTTGCCACCAGATATTTTTCTGTGGGCCTGCACAAAAGACACTGCCTGCTGCAGTAACCCACACAGTTTCAATAAACTGAAAAATGTATCCAGCATCATTACTGACATTTCACCATTCATGCTGCAGGCAGTGTCTATGAACATCCTTGGTTCTCAGTTACGTATGGATCCTGCTGGTGCCACTTTCAGAACTTTTGTAACAAGATATATTTATTAAACATCTTACTTTGAATACAGTTCATGTTTAAAAAATCACCATACTCTGCATGCAAGTTATGCCAAAGTAACCCTGGCTCTCTAATACGTGTTATAACATTCCTAACATTAGCTTCTCAATTAAAAAGGTCACTCTGTAGAAGATATGTGTATTAGTGTAATGAAGGATCTGTCTGCAGTCAAACATTGAAGTTCCAAGACTCAGATTTACACTCTTTGTCTTTCATATCTGTAGTTGTCATAATCCAGGAGGCCCACAGATCCAGCATTTGTGTGCCTGGTATTTTTGGAAATAATGTCTAGATCTTTCTCAGTTTGGCAACTGATATTCCTGTCAAGCTTGGTTGCTGCATGTTGCCTCCACTATAATTATATTTTGCAGGTGACAAAAGATACAATAGCACTTGTGACAGTTGAAGACTAACAAGGGTTTTGCAGGCACACTGAAACATATGAAAAGCAGAATTGGGAAAGAGATGGTATTGTACCAGAGTTGATGGGTCATATTGTCATTAAGCTCAATCCTGATAGTGATAGTGACAGTGACAGTGACAGTGACAGTGACAGTATTTGTGACAGCAGTGAAACTGACAATGAGCACAGTAATTGACAACCACTGTAGAGTAGGTAGTGAATATTTGGGTTAATATCATAGTCACTGAACCATGCTGTCATGCCTTTAATGGTCTTCCAGTGTTCCTCACAAGTCTCAGGATTATAGTCCAAAAATGTTAGATGTTTGTGATAATTTGACTTAGCTGTTAAGTTATGAAGTTGTCATTTGTATACATGCACACCAGTTCATTCTACTTGAAAGAAATTTCGGTATGTTATGTGAAATAAGGAGAATTGAAGGAATGATTAAGAGTAAAAGTTGATAATATGTAGATAGCTCAGTTGGGTTATGAGGTGGATGGCTGGGATTTGATTCACAGGAAGGCAAGAGATTTTTCTCTTCCCCACAATGTCCAGACTGGCTCTGGGACCCACTCAGCCTTGTACCCAAAGGATACTGAGGGCTCATTCCAAGAAGGTGAAGTGGCCAGGATGAGAAGCTGACTACTGACCTCCAGCTAGTGCTGAGGTCAAGAATGGTGGAGTTGTACCTCAGGTCCCCCATATGGTTTCATGGTGTGGTGCTTAATTAATTAATCACAGATACAGCTTTACCTTTTGTATTTTAATGGAGTTTTTTTTTTCTAGAAATGGGTGTTTTACCAGAGATAGGCAAAGCGGTTGAAGAAATGGATTGGATGTAAGTATGTTTTGCAGACATTCTTTGATGGTAGATTCTAAAGGGTTTTGACAATGGTGGATGACACACAGAATTAGAATCTAGAATTACTGGGTTTTTGGACTTTTTCCATCATCTGGAATTATAGGTAATAGCGGACACTCTGGGTAAGAGAGCACAGGACATTTTGGAACCTGGATCTGTTTCCGTCTTCAGGTGAGAAAGGAAGACACCTACTCAGTCAGGCCCCTTAGAAAGAGCTAATCTCAATCAGAACAACTGCTGTCAGGTTTACCCACGTATTTCAACATATATAAGACTAGGCTAGTTCAGTGGAAGATAACAAGAAACAATAAAATAAAAATTGTGATAGAGCACGCACGTGTGTGGAACTAGGATACAAAAAGGAGGTAGAAATTTGTGTTAGAAACCTATTTGATAAAAAACCACGTGCATGAGCACCAATGCAAAGAAATGGGAAAAAATTGTGAAGGTATGTAATATCTACCACTAGTGCCATCTGTGGAGTAACCTGAACAATTGAGACCGGAACCTTGTGGAAACGCATGAAGGGTCTTGCCACGTCATACAGATCTTCTCTGTGAGTTAGAAACCTCATTGCTGATGAGGGGTATTCAGGCAGGAGAAATGTCCAAACTGGTTTGGCTGATTGGATTGGTTAAGTATGCCATATGGGCTGATTCCTTATATTTCCTATACCTGCTGTTACTTTCAGTTTCCAAAATCGTGGCATGATCTGAGCCTACTCTGTGACCCTCTTCATAGACATGTTGGGCTGATTTTGGTTTTTCTAGAAGACCCCGTTGGAGATTGTGCCTATGTTCACAGAGCCACACGCCTAGATGTCTCCCTGTTTCCCCACTGTAGCTTCTTCCACACACACACAGGGAATACTAGAGATGCACTGTGCCATCTGTTGCAGATCTCTTTCTGGCCTTTTTCTCATGAGTGAATTCCTAAGTGTGTGTTTAGTTTTGAAGATCATCCTGCTGTTGTATCGATTCCCTATATGTTTGAACTTCTCAGAAACAGCCTTTGTATATGGGATGTACACAGAGCCCAGGGACTTTTGCTCTTTATTTGGACAACTGCTACCCTTGGAGTTAATGGCTGAGTCAATGAAACCTTGCAGATAACCGTTGAGCTGGAGATCACTTCTCAGGCTGCTGATTTCTTTAACCAGGTCTTGTCATTCTTGGCATATGGTGGAAGCTCTGTTGTGCAGACTCTGAATCAAACCTCTTTTCACATGCAGTGAATGGTTAGAGTTGAAGTTGAGGTACCGGCCAGTGTGGATGGGTTTCCTATAGACTTTGGCGGCTAGTGTCGTCTCTTCCCTGCTGACCAGCACATCAAGAAAGGAAATTGCACTGTATGATTCAATTTCCATGGGGAACTGGATGGACGGCCTTATACTGTTGAGGTGGCTGAGGAAATCCTGTAACTGCTCTGGACCATGAGGCCAGACCACAAACGTGTCATCAGTGTACCGGAGCCACAGCGATGGTTTATGTTGTGCCAATTCAAGAGCCAGTTTCTCAAAATGCTCCATGAAGATGTTGCTCACAATGGGTGATAGGGAGCTTCCCATAGACTTGTCATCTTTCTGTTGGAAGAACTTGTTGCCCACCTGAAAATATGTGGTTTTCAGGCAAACCTCCAGCAGCTCCATGATATCTTCTACCTGCAGAGCAAACCATTCTGCCAGTGTGTTGTCGTAGAGCTTATTTCTGATGACTTCTAGGGCTTCATCAACTGGAACATTGGGAGAAGAGACTAATGATGTCAGAGCTAACGAGAGTATCTGAGGATTGAAGATTTACAGACTTCAACAGCTATACAAAGTAGCTCGAATTCTCAGTGAAGGATTCCGATCTTACAGCAAGATGACTTAGTATCTTAGGGATAAAGCCAGCCAGGGCATAGCAAGAGGAACCAGTAGAACTCACAATAGGCCTCAGAGGAATGTCCGGTGTGTGGATCTTGGGAAGACCATATAAATGTGGAGGTTTGCTGTGCTGGGGAGTCAACTTGTGTTTAAGATCAGTGGGGAGAGTAGTTTGTGCTTGAAAAGGAGTTTTTGTATTTTCCCATTCTTTGATGTGTTCAGTTGTATATAGAACATACTTGATTTTTTTTAATAAAAAAGAAAATATATATAGATAGGAACTGTAGTTTTTGGAGTGAAAGTTACATTTGATAAATACAAATCATACAGTGTGATTGTCTGGGAGCTACCCAGAAACTGTCTGTTTGCTCTGGCAAGATAGACAGTTGCTCCTTTTGTCACCTTGGCCTGACTAGTTAGTAGCAGACTCAACAGAGCAAGAGCATATACACATTACAATATTTTTCTTTACTACCCCATTAAGTTGTTGAACAGTTACCGTGAAACAGGCTCATGCATTACTTGTATGTGTTAGCTGGCTAGTGCTTGCAATTTGGTGGTGACTTATTTGAAACCTGGTCTTCTGGGTCCAGTGTGAAAACTTTCAAGAATAATGTCCAAGCCAAGGATTGATTTCTTCCAGTTTTTCTTTGGTGTGCATTCTGCATTTTGATCCATTTTATTTATTTCAGTAATAATCCTAGCCATCTATTAATTTATTTTCCATTTTATGAATAGCTTTTAAGTCAGTAATTGGGTCATCCTTCTGGTCTAGAAAACCAAGATTAACAGCTGTGGGGATCCGTTGTGCTGACCATGCAACACCCTCTGTCTGCAAAAGTTGGCACTAACTTCGCCGACAAGCGGTTGTCACTCGGCCAGTATAGTTCACTTGCGGACTAAAGGCCACAGAGTTTTAATTGGGACATGCTAGAATTTACACTGGATTCTTCTCCTTACTTTTCTTTGAGAGCCAGTGTTTGCATAGGTATCATACGTGAATACTCAATGCAGTGTGTAGGTGTAACTCAGATATGACATTTTGAAATGAAGTAATGTGACTTATTGAATGTTCATTGCAGTAGCAGGGCCTTGGAATTAAGCTTGCTTCATAATAGGTGTTTAACAGTTTACTTGGGCAAAATTTAAGAGAAACTGTAATGTGTATAGTCCCATGGCTTCTATGGTCCTCTGCAAGTTCACAGAAAGTTGATACGTGGAGTGACTGTTTGCCCTGTCCAAATGGCTGAACAGTTTTTGGGTAGCTCTCAGGTGAATGCACTGATCATATAAACCTGTATTTATTCCTTCACTTGAAATTACAACTGCAAGGAACAAGAACTCCTTATTTACATACCCAATGGAACTCTCAGGTGGTAAATAATCATTTTGTAACAATACAGTGACCATATATTTTATCTTTTGCACCCACATGTCAGGTATTGCCAAACTCTTCATAGAATTTGTGTTTTATTTAACATCCGATGCAAAATAAACCCAATGTAGCGGAAAGTGAATCAGCATGACCTGTGACTGAATTTATTTTATGGAGAAGTGACCAAGAATAAGTATTTCATTTTGCTTAGATGTCTGTTACTGCAATTAAATGGGACACATCAGCTGTTGGTCTATTCCAATGATGTGAACCTACTGGATGATAATATAGATACCATAAAGAAAACACACAAGCTATGAATGATGCAAATAAAGAGGTTGGTCAAGAAGTAAACAGAGTAAAAACTAAGTATATGTTGCTGTCTCGTCACCAAAAGGCAGGACAAAATCATGACATAAAGAGAGAAAACAGATGTTTTGAAAATGTGACACAGTTAAGATGTTTGGGAACAACGATCTCAAATCAAAACCTGATTCAGGAGGAAATTAAGAGGAGATTGAACTTGGGTCATGCTTGCAGAACCTTTTGTCTTATTGTTTACTGGCCAAAAACATAAAAATTAGAATATACAAAACTATAATTTTGCCGGTGGTTCTGTATGAGTTGTGGAACTTGGTCTCTGACATTAAGGGAGGAACATAGACTGAGTGTGTTGAGAATATTTGGACCGAAGAGAGATGAGGATATGCTGTGTCAGGTAACTTATTTAAAACATCTACAAATATAAAATTGGGACTGCAATGTGATCGGGTTTTATGAAGCATTTTAGTGTGAAGAGTCACTTCTCTTGTATTGCCAAAGCTACTTAGAGCAACCTGTTTCTATAAAATTCTTTACTTTTTAAATTTAGGTTAATGTAAATTAATTATGTCATTGTAAGAAAGACTACTTTTTGATTGTGATTGGTACTGTATATAGGCTTGAATAAGTCTTGGGAGGAAAAACACAAGGATGTTTTCTGATGCATTTACTCACCTTCTTCCTCCTTAGCCTCTGTCTAGTTCCATCAAGGAAGGCGGGCAAACACACATCAACTCTGATTCCATTATTCTTGAGATGTGCAGGGTTCCTCACTACAAGTGAAAGAAAATGAATATGCAGAATGTCCAGATGAAAGGGATCCAAAATAAAATAATTACATCTCAGATAGCATTTATTTTACACATTTATTGGTTGCACCATTACAATGGGAAACTATTAAAGTTTTTTTTTCTTCTTCTTCTTAGTGTATAACTATATCAGTAAATTTTAATATGGACACCCTTGGTGGCAGGACAAATATCCAGATGATGTTGGACCTTGTTCCACTTTGCTTGATGTATGTTTGGTGTTACTGTAGCCACAGCATCCCTTATATGGGCTTTCAGGTGTTGAAGGTCATTGATATTAACCTGGTAGACAATGTTCTTCACATAACCCCCCAAGAAGATATCCACTGGGGTTAAATCAGGCTATCTAGGAGGCGAGGCGATTGGTCCACCTCTGCCAGCCAATCTCCCAGACATCTCTCTGTCCAGGTGATTCCTAACATGGTGGCAGAGATGTGGCAGTGCCACATCTTGTTGGAGGATAGTTTAAGGTGGTAACTAGGGCAGCACATACAGCTCCAGCATGTCCAAGTACGAATGTCCAGTCACAGTCTTTTCTGAGAAGAAAAACGGTCCAATCAACTTGTGCATTAAGCCGGCCCACACGTTCACTTTGGGGCAGTCTCTCTCTAACTCATGTGTGACATGTGAATTTTGACTGCCCCAGATCCTGCAATTGTACCTGTTTACAACTCCATTGACATGGAATGTTGGCTTGTCCAAGAAGCACACTTGGCGGAGGAAATCAGATGGCACGTGAATTCTTTGTAGCATGTCCACAGCGAAGTTTGTGTGTGCTACTTGGTCACTCGGTTTTAATGCATGAATCATTTGAATCTTGTACGCACTTAGGCAGGGCCTTTTGTATAGCACATCATCCACCCATTAACATGGAATATGTAACTGCAAACTAGCAGCACGAATCGATTTTTACGATTCCTGCATTGTGGACAGAACTGTTCTGCTAAACAGAAAAGTACTGTAACATAGGCTAAGAAATGAAAATAAGGGAGTAGAAAGAATAACTAAAGTACTTCAGTAACACTTAAGATTTAAAGGTAAAGAAGTAATGGTGTTGGGAAGAAGTATTGCACAGTATCCAAAGTAATGGTGTTGGGAAGAAGTATTGCACAGTATCCAAAGTAATGGTGTTGGGAAGAAGTATTGCACAGTATCCAAAGTAATGGTGTTGGGAAGAAGTATTGCACAGTATCCAAAGTAATGGTGTTGGGAAGAAGTATTGCACAGTATCCAAAGTAATGGTGTTGGGAAGAAGTATTGCACAGTATCCAAAGTAATGGTGTTGGGAAGAAGTATTGCACAGTATCCAAAGTAATGGTGTTGGGAAGAAGTATTGCACAGTATCCAAAGTAATGGTGTTGGGAAGAAGTATTGCACAGTATCCAAAGTAATGGTGTTGGGAAGAAGTATTGCACAGTATCCAAATCCTGAGTTAGGTGAATTTTGGCTGACATGGATAATTGACAATTTTTGTTACTAGTAGTGAAGTCCATAATATTTTATTGGTCGATGTTAGATTTTGGACTTTTCCTCCACTGATTTTGTGTGTTATATTTAGGCTTCCAACAGATGTCCAGGCAGAAGCCATTCCCCTAATTTTGGGTGGTGGAGATGTCTTGATGGCAGCAGAGACTGGTAGTGGAAAGACTGGAGCTTTCTGCCTTCCAATTATTCAGATTGTATGGGAGACTCTAAAGGATTTGGAAGCTGGGAAAGGAAGTAAAATCATTGCGCAAATTTGTAAGTGTTAAGTGTGAGAATGCAGACTTTGTTTTGGAAATTAAAACAGATGAATTTTGTCAAATAACAATTTCAAGTGAACTTGGTATGCATTTTTATAAAGGTTGTTAAAATGTAAAATGGATAAGAAATTGAGCACTGATCAACAATTAGCACCAACAGAGGTAAGTGAGTGAATAAAGCAAAATGATGGAGGACTGCAGGTTACTCCTGATAGTCATTATGGATGCCAGCTAATTGCTTATATAGAAAAGATTTAAATAACACCACTTCCTGTGTTATGGACATTGAGATTGGAAAGGTAATGTAGCAGCAGCATTATGGAAAGATGGTTTAGACTTCGGATATGCAGCCAGATCTTCATTAGTGCTGATAATGAATCCCATGAAGTGGTCACATTAGAATTTGCACTATAAAGAGTTATAATTATGTGTAAAGTGTGGTAATTGGTTCCAACTCTACAGAAATAGACAATGAAGAATTTTAAACAAGGTTTTATATGTTTATTAACAAAATATTAAAGTAAATGATAAAAAGAATATAATTTAAATTTATTGTTAACAAAGTTGCAGGGTAGTTGTAGAGAGCAAAAAAAATGTGCTCATATTGCTTTTAACTTAAGAAATCTTCCTTTTGTCCATTTTGTTAAGGGCACTTCTTAAAATGATAAAAACAAATCATGAAAAGTAACGTATATTATGGGCAGGAGCAGCACATGCACACTTGAAGATAAAGTGCAGACTGAAGTAGCAGTATTTGTCATGGTAACCTCAACTGCACGTACGCTAGCCTCGCATTAAATGTTGTACATTAACGTGATGAAATGCCGATATTTTATGTTCTGCAAAACTGCCATTTAATGTTCCTTCATATAATGTTTTCCCTCCTTTAATGTTCAATTTCATTGATCCCAAGTCAGTAATGTCCCGTGTTTAAGTCCACTGCTTCCCAAATAAACCCTAAAGAGAGCTTTATTCCATTGAGATTTCTACACTTTATCAACAGTATGTGTAACATNGAAGATGGAGGCGCTACGTTCCTCCGAAACGTCGGCCAAAACGAAGAATACACGGTGCCTAAACCCAGAAGACGACTTTCTTCAACATTTATCTTGTTTGTTTTACAACATGTGAATGATGAGTTCTAGATTATTTTGGTATAGATGCCTAAATTTAGGCTGACTGAGTGTTTCTGGAAGTTACGGAAAGAGGGGTGAGGAGCTAGAACTTTTGGTAGTGATGCATGCACACACTCTGGGAGTTGACTTGCCCTCCCTCTCCTCCCAAGCATTCAGTCAGTGCAACATTAATCCCTCCTTCAAGCTACTCTTCCCGAGAAGCCTCTAGATACAGTGCCAGTCTGTCCAGGTGCACCACCATGATCTTCGCCTTAGGATGACGCTGGATCCTGTAGACTGCATTGTTGATCCAGCTGCCCACATAAGGGCCCTCCCAGAATTGCTGCAACTCTGCAGAAATTTCCTTCTGGTCTGGATCGGGTGATACAACCAGACTTTGTCTCACCTGGAATCCATCTGAGTTAACTAGGTGGTTATAGCATGCATTCATCTGGTTGCTGCCAACCTTCAGATGCTGATGATCATAATGATGGATGTCATGCAGCCATTCCATGAGATCCACCATGTCAGTTGTAGGTTGCTCTTTGTCAGGGGGAGCTCAAAACAGCAGGTTGCGTGACACATCTAGTTTCCTTCTAGACACCAAGCTGGCAGGATCATGCCTGTGGTCTCTTGGATGGAGGCTCTGTAGGCCTCTTATCCCAATCTATCTGTTTTGTCTCAGCAACCTTCCTCAGGTGCTTCTGTATTTTCTTACTGTAGTATTCCACCATCCCATTGGATTGGGGATGCAGAAGGGTGGTGTGTGTCCTGCACACTTCTTGGCACTCCTGAAGGTTTTCCTGCAGAAGTTGCAATTTGAAGTATTTTATTAAAACATTTAGCTTCAAATTCAATCATATATTGCTTAATTTTCAATATAAAAATGAGGACAAACTTAAAAGAGTAATGATGAGTTATTATTATTATTATTATTATTTAAATGCAAATGGGTTTACACCCCGTGGCAGTGGTACTACAATAAGACAACAGACAAGTAACACACATTACTACAATAAGACACCAGACAAATAACACACATAAACCTGTTCAAACAAAACAGTACACAAACATGAGTAGAAAAGTGAAACATACTATACATATAATAAACTAACAGTAATTAATGCATGATGTCATGTTCTCATTTTCCCTTCATTTCACTCTACTACACTTATGTAATCCTACCATCCGCTTATGCGAGCTGTCTGCCTGCACTCTGACAAGGTTCTCCAGTTCAAATCGTTCCTATGATGTGCAAATTTAGCCGCTTTCTTTTGCACCCGGTCTAACGCATTTATCTGGCCCGACTCTAAGCAACCCAGCAAGCCGCCCCATATTCCAGAATCGGACGTACTGAAGATGTGTAGGCTAAACATTTAGTGTTGCTATATCCCCTTTTTAGCATACACCTTCCAGTCTGTTTTCACTGTGTAATTCACAGTGTTAATGAAGACTAAAATATGTTTTAAAACAATTAGTAGATTTTCCATGACACGATACATTTCAGGTTTTCTTTTTTAACTTTTAGTTAATTTTTCTGGATTTTCGGTCAATTTATTGGTCATTCTAACACATTTTAGGTCATCAAAATCTGGGCCCTGCTAATGACGATTGCATCATCAAGATACACCAGGCAGGCTTTGTAAGTGTGGTACCACAGACAGATTCCATCACTTGTTCAAAGGTTGCTGGAGGGTTGTAAAATCCAGAGGGCATAACTTGTGAACTGCCACAGCCCCTGCCTGGTAGAGAGGACATTTTCTCCTCATTACTGGGTTGCACGGAAATTTGCCAGTAGTTGCCCTTCAAATCCAGAGTGGAGAACCACTTGGCCATGGCGACTATGTCTGGGGTGTCATCTGTTCTTGGTAGCTGGAACCAGTCCTACTTTGTAATGACATTCTACCATTGGTTATTCACAAATAACCAAAGGTCTCCATTCTTCTTTCTGATGAGCATGATGGCTGACTCCTTGATTTCCCCATGTTCTTCAGCATCTTGTCTTCCTCAGCCTTCTTCAATAATGGGAGCCACTAATGGGGTGGCTGGGGCCACGCCATAGCTCAAGCAGTTAGTCAGTGGCTTTCCACCGCGGCAGCCCGGGTTTGATCACAGGTCTGGTCAAGTGGGATTTGTGGTGGACAAAGTGGCGCTGGGGCATGTTTTTTCTCAGTACTTCGGTTTCCCCTTCCAATCTTTATTCCACCAGTTGCTCCACAATCACCCTCACCTATCATCTGGAGCTGGTACAATAGGCCAGAAGTGGCTGCAGTGCAAGGGACTTAGTCCCACCCCACTAGCAATAAAAAAATTGGGGTGGCTGACTGATAGGACAGGTGTCACCAGTGCTGATACACTGGTGAACACTACAGGTATATCCATATTCATCGTTCACCTTTACAGAGATGTCCTGACATTCATGAATTAAGTTCTCCAGTTGTCGGGCTTATCCAAGATTGAGTTCCAGCTTGGTGCTTGATACCACCTTTCACAGCTGTTCATTGAGGCATCATGTCCCTGGAATTTGAGATTGTGAACCATCAACAGGCACCGCCCATGTGACATGTTCACAGTAGCCGAGAGTGGTGCCTTTGTCAGACACTTGGTCTTGGTCACTCACATTCATTACTCTGATGGGTACCTCCCAATGAGCTTGAACAAACACTCCACTATAAACAGTCCCCCTTTGTAAGATGTCTTCAAGCTGAGTTCCGCTAAGCAGTTCACTGACTCCAGGAGACCTTCACAATCACCATCCTCTTTCATCAGGTTGATATCATCCCATTGCTGGCTGTTGTCAGGAGGGAGGATCTTCTCAGGCTCCGTAACTCCATAATGACACCACTTCTCTGCCCAGTTAAAATACTTGATACTTAGAATCCACAATTGTGTCTTAGGTTTGCAGGACATCCAGTCCCAGGATGAATTCAGCTGTGCTCTTCATAAGGGAACACCAAAATTCGTAGCACACTTTGTCCCAGAGTCAACTCCACTAGTGCCTCCTTTAGGCTGGGCTAAGTCTCTCCAGAGGCTGTCTGTAGAACATAAACCAACTCATCTTCTCCTTGGGAAGTCATGTGACCCAAATCTATAGCACGCTCTGCCTGAGTCAGTTCCAGTAGTGACTACTAAAAGACAAGGAAGGTCTTCCCTGGATGCTCTGTAGAACATAAGGCTGACTGGCTTTCTCTTGGGTAGTTTTATGGTGATGTCAGGTCTGGCAGTCACAGATGTCCTGGTGCCGATGGCCATGTGGCATGTGGCAGTTGGACAGTGATTACTCCTTTTGGCTGGTGTGCTAAATGTGAAATGAAGGAATGAAGGCTGTGACACCTGAGGCCCCCTCTTCATGCGAGCCTTTGTCCATTACCCAAGACCTAGTTAACCTCATCACATCTTTGACTGTAGTCTGTTCTGAGATGGGCAGTTGCCTCATGCTTCCAGCATTTGGATCATCCCATCCTGTAGCACTCAGTTCTCAGTGACCATGTTCTCATGTGGGTCTAACACTCACAGCTTTGCTGGTGACCCTGTTGCTGGTTTCATGGCCTCTAGTTTCAAGGCCTGGATAAAAGCTTCATTTGAAGACCTGTTATCACCCATGAGGAGGTGCTGTTTCACGTCCTGGTCATTCCTTAATGAACACATAGGCTACTTTCCTCTAGATGAAGCTCTCGGGCTACTTGACAAGGGCCCTGTGGGCCAACTGCTTGATGACAGCTGCAGATCCTTGTAGCAACTCGCCACTCACCTGAGTCCTATCTTTCTTTTGACTCATAGGCTGTCACCAACAAGTAGCCTCTGAAATAGCCCTTTGGTGCCCTGATGATATCCTCGTACGATGCTGTGGGTGGGACCCTGGGTAGGATGTCAGCAGCTTTCCCATACCTTGAGACTGGTTTTATATAAGTTAGATTTCTACATTATTCCAGTACATGTGAAAAATGAGGCACACTGAGCTGCTGGAAGTCGCAAGAAGTGAGGGGGAAGTCTAGAACATGCACCAGCGATATGTATATTCACAGTGGGAGGTGACTCGCTTTCTCCCCTGCACTTAGTCAGAATCATGCTAGTAACCCACTGTGGTTCTGAACTTATTGCTCTGAGTACCAGAAATGTAAACCAGATTTGAGAGATTCAACGTTGAAAATTATCTGACTACGGAGATGGCTAATTGTCTGCCTCAACTTTATATTTTAAGGAGTTTGTAAGGAAATTATATCAGCATCCTTGGTGTTTCAGTAGATGTTCATTATGGTCTTTCATTTTAGCTCCACATTGGACTTTAAGTTTCTTTGATCGAGGTTCTGCATTAGCTGTGACACCAGATGGATTACGCTGTCAATCACGTGAACAAAAGGAGTGGCATGGTTGTCGTGCTACAAAAGGGGTTCAGGGGAAAGGGAGGTACTACTATGAGGCCACGGTTACAGACGAAGGATTATGCCGTGTTGGCTGGTCAACACAACAGGTGGGCTAGTAAACATTACAGCAATATGAGTTATAAACATTGCATGTTTTATGAAGTAAATGTCACTGCATAATTCCTGAAAATAACTGAAACATAATTATGCATTGAGATTATTTGTGTGCTGAGCAAAGTATGAGGGTCACCCCAAAAGTAATGCACATTTTTTTTTTAAAAAATAAATTTTTATTCTACACCTTTACTACTTATATAGTATGTTGGTACATCCTTTGTGAAGAAAATATCACTTCTCCACATAATCTCCATCCCTTTGAACTGCCTTACACCACCTTGGAACTAGGGTCTGCATGCCAGCATGGTAAAACTCTGGACCAGCGCATCTGAGCCACCGTTTAATGGCCGTAATGAGTGCATCATCATCTTCAAATCTTGTTCTGCGAAGGGATACTTTCAGTTTACCAAAGAGGTGGTAATCAGAGGGTGCCATATCAGTGCTGTAAGAAGGGTGTGGCAATATTGTTCATCCAAGTTTTGTGATCTTGTCCTTGGTTTTCTGACTGATGTATTAGGAATTGAGACCTCTTTCCCCTTAATTCCTTGACTTATGATCCATGACTGCATATGCGTTTGATCTACTAGTTGTTGCATGTTATTTGCCGAGCCAGTAAACACTTCCCCCCTGTGATAATAACAGCAGAGGAGCTGCTGCTGCTAGGCAACAAGACAGTAAACACTTCCCCACTCTGACATAACAGTAGATGTGATGCTGGAGGGGACGTTTCCAACTTGTCCGGTTTGAAGTATAACAAGCAGAGCTGTGGTGGTGGTGTTGACAGAAGCCAGTGGTTAGCTGGCAGTGACAGATGTTTCCATGCAACAGCATAACATCCTGTTTCAGCCGATGCGATCAAGCAAGACTCAGTCAAGCTTGAAGTTTCTTTAGGGTTGCCAAATATGCGTCAGAATTAATGGTAGTTCCTTGTGGCATGATGTCCACAAGCAAAAACCCTTCTGAGTAAAAAAAGACCATACCCATAACTTTTCCTGCTGAAGGCGCAGATTTGAATTTCTTTTTCTTCGGTGAGTTCACATGGTGCCATTCCATTGCCGCTTTGTTTCTGGTTCAAAATAATGCAGCCATGTTTCATCTCCCATTACAATTCTCGCAAGAAAATCATCACCATTCTCATACTGTGCCAAGAGTTCACTGCACACAGTTTTTTGGGTTTCTTTGTGGGCATCTGTCAACATCCTTGGAACCCACCTTGCACAAACTTCTTTCCACTCCAACTGTTACACTATTCTGCACACACTTGCTTCCCCAATTCCCAGTTGGACTGACATTTCTTTCAGTCACAGATAAGCTGCGTGCCCACTGACTAACTGTACTGCATTTGGCAGCGTCATCTCCATACACATTTTTCAGTCTCTTGTGAATATTTCCCACTGTCTCATTCTCACAACACAAGAACTCTATAACAGCACGTTGCTTTTGACAAACATCAAGAGCAGCAGCCATTTTGAATGAGTGCTATGACAGTGCTACGCGTGGGAATGGGTTGAATTAAATTTGAATATAAGCGGGACGGATCCTTGTATGGACCCTATAAATAGCAAAACTGTGGATTAAGAACTGAATTAAAAGAAATTGTTGTGAATTGCTTTTGGAGTGGCCTACATACAATTTTTACACTACACACACTATCTTGCTGCGCCTACCCTGATGAAGTAGTGTCGATGAGGAGGTACCTTATGTATGATTTAATCTTGTGCTAAAATAGCTTTCTTTCATGTATGGCATGGATGTTTGCCCTAGAGAATCAGATGTGTTTGTATGAATCTCATGTGGAGTGTAGCTCCACTACAAGCTGAGGAAATTCGGAAAAAATTACTGGAATGTGAGATGCACATAGAAACACTCTTCAAAATGTTATCAGTAAAGTAAAAACAAGTACCAAGACATCAGCAGTGAGTATTTACAGAAGAAGAGTTGGATTAAATCAGAGCTCAGCTAGAACATCCATGTCATAAGTCTCTTAAGAGCCATGTACAAGAAACGAGAGTATCAAAATGGACTGTAAGAACGCCTATGGCCCTGTTTTAATTTTTGCATCCATATGATCCAGCAGCCAGACTTCATTTCCCTAACTTGTATCTTCAGTCATTTCACAACAAAAAACTTGATCTGGAGTTCACATTATTCATATGAGTCTTTGTTTTATTTGAATGGATATGTAAATAGAAATAAAGCCACTGTATTGCATAAAATTCACATTTTGTGTATGAAATTCAATTCCTTATTGCAAATATTGGTATTTGGTGCACCCTGAGTGTGCATACCTTCAAGGATGTATAGGAGAGATTTAAAAATGGATAAAAATTGTACAGCTCATTTGTTCTTTTGTATTTAAATCCATAAAAAAGTTTGGACTCAATTCACTAACCCATTCAAAAGCTATTGGACTTTCAATTTTTTGCTAAATTTACGCTTGATCTTATGGAAGTCCAGCCTCATAAGCTATAATAGATGAAAAATATGTAAAAAAATGGTACCATGAGTTTCAAAATTTTTACACTTAGAATTTTAGCCTTTTGGAATAATGTTGCAAAATTACGTTTACTTTCACTACACCACTCAGGAGAAATTAATAATAATGTATTGAAACAATAGTGAGTTTCTATGAGGTGTGCATTCTCAGGGTGCTATAATAGAATTACTTTATGATAGACTTTTTTGTATGAATATAATTGTGTAGAAAGCACAATGTAACAAAGATAAATATAGCTACGATTAACCTACAACTGTAGAACATGTCAACTATAAAACTTCAGTTGTGGTGTTGGTCTGCTCATGTGGGATCACTGAACTGCAGAAGGCAAACTGCAGTTTTGTCAGGTTTAATTGTTCCCAAAGAGAATTTCAGTAATCAAAATGTATAAAATTAAATTCATAGTTTTCATAAATATAATAAATAGCAACCGTTTTATTTATATTAAAAAATGATTTACTGCTTTGTATAAAAAGTAATTTAATTTAAATTCAACATTTTTTTGTTGTAAAGTACAATTCAGAGAGTATTCACTTTCAGAAGTTTAATTATAATGAGTGACATAACTGATAAATGCATCCAAGAGAAGTTATAAAATAAAAAATATCCCACCTTAAAATTTAGGACACATTGCTTCTGCCTCTATTTAAGACATGCAAGGAGCAGATATTCGCTAATTTGGAATTTAAGCTACCTTTGCCTAAGAATTTATCTCCTATACACTATTTAAGACATGCAAAGTATTCGTTAAATTGGAAATTAAGTTACCTTTGTCTAAGATTTTATCTCCTATACATCCTTCAAATATTTCATGCAAGCATTGAACTGGAACTGGTACCTTTCTTTCAACCACCACATGCCACTATTCATACTGCAAGCAAATGATGCATACTGTCTTGCTTGTCAGAATTTCTATCTCTGCTAGGGCTCTGTGTGTTTGAACTTTGAGGTTAAAACTGAGTGTGAGAGCACTGGCAAACATGTTAATGCATTGGTTATAAGTAATTTTTTATTAATGTACATTCATTGCTACAGCAATCTCTCCAACAATTTTAATGCACCTGATGGCGACCAAATAGGATGGAACATGCTGTGCAATAGATATGTTAAATAAAGACATACACCTTGAAACAATGGAGAGTATTAAAATTTTTAATTTTTTAGTGTGAGTTGCACAAGAGATAGTGGGGAATACACGAATAAAAAGTAGAGGAGTGCAACAGGATGCTACAATACAACTTTACATTTATAAGCCATGGCTTATGACCACCTCATTCTTCCAGAATTATTCAGTGTGATTTATTCTTGTGGGAATATTTAAAAGATAGTCTGTTGAACCAGTTCACAAAAGGGAGAGCTCAGAAAGAAGTGTCCTACACATTCTTGGAACAGCTACAGCTTATGAGGCAGACTCTATTTAGAAAGTCTGGAGAATATATCTGTGCTGATGGAGAACATTCCTTGCAGTTTCTGTAACATGGGTACATAAACTTACACCATAACTGTAAGTGACTGAACAGGATGTGTAGCAGTCAATGTGCTGTTTGTAGATAGTGGAAGGGCCATGCTTTGGCTCAGCCCACATATTATCACCTGTATCTCATGTATAGGAATGTTGTTCATCTGCTCTGTTGCAGTTGAACTGCACATCCAAAAATAACTTAGCCTCAAATTGTAGCCAGTTAGTGTCACAGAAATTGAAACCAGTGATCTGGACTGTTGTTCTCTTGTTTATGGCATGTATAAGAATCTGATTAAATCTTTGTAGAGGAAGCTAGTAATTTCTCATGGAGAAATTGAAATTGTGCATTTTAATGCATCATAGGATTGTCTTTTGAGTTTTCTTTCATATGCATTTAATTATATTGGTTTTTTGATTTTAAATATGCATGATAAAATTAAGATCAGATTAAATTTGGTAACTCTACATACTGCATGCAAACATTCAATTCCAAATATTTTATTTTCTTACTACTTTTTAAAACTTTAAGGATGAACACATAAAAATATAATTTTAGCTATTGTTTTATAAAGGATGACATGAGTGGGAAAATGCGGTGTGCATGAAGGAAACAATAAATGTGTGCAAAATTTTGCCTGAAAAATGAAGAGAAGAGACTGGTGGGGAGATGTAGGTTTGAATGATATGATAATCTTGAAAGTGATGCTAGAACTGTCTAATGATAAGAAGCACTGGCAGGCTTTTGTGATTGACATGATAAATTTATGGTTTTGATACTGGAATTTCTTGGTCAGTTGAATAACTATCCAGGCATATATGATGACATTTGAGTTTCTCATAAAGGAAAGACATGTGGTCTTCTAGGCCATGATACCTTCAGTCTGATAGATGACTGTCAGAGTTTCAAAGGAACATACAGCCTCCTGCTTCAGGATTTTTTGCTCTGAAGATGGAGACAGCGTATTCTTCCAAAACTTTGATACTTCTTTGTCAGACTACATGGAATCAGTTTTCTAAATTTATGCCAGTGTGCTTTTGATTTTGTAAATTTGATTTTTTTTAATAGAATTACATAATTCAGCATATTTTAATTTAATTTTTAGGCACAGCTTGACCTAGGAACAGACAGGTTTGGGTTTGGCTTTGGAGGAACAGGAAAGAAGTCAAACAACAAACAGTTTGATAATTACGGAGAAGCATTTGGTATGCATGATGTGATTGGCTGTTACTTGGATTTAGATTCAGGAGAGATTAAATTTTCTAAAAATGGAGTTGATCTGGGGAAGGCATTCACCATACCACAACAACTTAAATCATCTGCTTTTTATCCTGCTGTTGTCCTGAAGGTAAGTAAAGTGATGTTTAATTTGTAAGTCCATATTACATATAACTTGAAATCTGCTTTAAAGAGAAACTAGAAAATTATTTGCAACAAATAAACATATATACAGAGAGTTTATAAAAGAGTTGCTGGAATTTATAACATTATTAGAGGTTATGTTTTATACCTGAACAAATTGTATAGGAGAGAGAGAGAATAATGGAGTTGTGGACTTTGTGGAGAATCATATTTGTGAGTTCAGGGAATTTCGAGGGCTGCATACCTCTTGTGACTGAAATGTTTCACTTTTCCTTAATTTCCCAAGGAGACTGAACTCAAAGTAGGTTGATACCATTGAAAAGCAATATGAAATTCTTTTAGTGTAAGGTCCGAGGAGTGATGTATAAATGTAACAGGATGCTGAAATATAGTATTCTGATCAAAATGTTTAGGAAATTTAATTAATGGGAAGTGTACATATGAGAATGCTATGAAACAAGTGATGTGTTCGGCTGTTCTTGCAGATGTCACTCCTCTGCTGTTGTATCTGTCATGAGAAAACTACTGGCTTGTACAGAGTTAACTGAGTGGATCAGAGTTTGAAATGACTGTTGAAATGCATGTTCATGAAATCCTATATGTAATTTGAGATGATGACAAAATATTGCAGAATAGTAAGATCTTTATTTGGGATGACACTCTTAGCCGCCTGAAATCATTTGTGTTGCATGCTCCATTTAACCTTTATATGCTCAGCACCCTTATCCAGTGATTAGGATGGATCGCTCCGGCTGATACCCTTAGCCCAAAATAATAAAAACAGTGGGAATAAGACTACTATCAAAGAAAATATAAAAAGAAAACAAACCCACTCTCCAAAAAGTACAAAACAAAAAAATAACCAACAAAACGAAAAATAAAAATAAGCCCGAATAATAAGAAGAATGCAAAATAGACTCTCTCGCCATAATCATCAAAATGCAAATCCAGAATCTTAACAAAATCAGCCCATAAGAAAGATAATCACAACCAAACATATAACTAAGACTGCCCCAACCCATAAAATAAGGAAAGGTAAAAAAGAAAAAGAAAGAAATCATAAAGAATAAACCATGAATCAACCGCCAACCCCCAACCAAGAAACACAAAGGGATTAAAAAAAAAGACGAAATAAAAACCTTAACAATGCAAGACTCTATAAGACTGACTATAAGGCACACCAGTGGCGCATTAGGTGATGGCCAGAACACTCAGGTGGCCGATCTATCAGCTCCATCTAAATCATGCTCTTTTAATTACATAAATGGTAAATAGCTCAAAGGAGGCAGCACAAGATTGGATGGGCATTGTGTAGGCCATTTATATATGCATATATATATCATTTTTTCTTCCAAATAAGTATGTAATAATAAAAGATCTACAATGTCTGTTTCACAGTGTTGCACTCATGTGGCATCCCTTTGCTTACAGAAAAAATTTTTTTGAAACAGATGAAATATGGTGAGCTCACATGTTTATTTAGTGGTTCAATGCTTTCTTGGTCTGTGGTTTTAGTTGTTTTAATGTGAATATATCATAGTTTAGTGGTGGTATTTTGTTTTTATTATAAAGTTATATTTTTATTATATTTTTGAAAGTTTATAGTTCAAACTCTAGGTTAGATGACTCTGACATGTTGGAATATTTAGACACAGTTGACAGTGATATTGACTTTATTCTGGAAAGTGACATTGATGATACAAGTGAAGAAGAAGATGCTTCACATGCCACACCCACAGCTGCTTACCATGTGTCTGACAGTTAAGAGGATGACATGGATAATGAAGACTACAGGGAAATTCTGTTACCTGAGCAACCTCTCCCTCATCCTTTCCAACTCTAAGAACTGTCCAGACCTAAGCATATGCCTCCTCCTGCTTACTTCCATTTCTTCTAATAGACTTGATCCTTAACCTTGTGGTGACAGAATCCAGCAAATATGCACAGCAAGTGATTAGCAGTAAAGTGGGTAATGTTCTCACTCTGCCAAAGAACTGGACCAGAATTACCATGCACGAGATGAAAAGATTCCTGGCCTGTATTCTAAATATGGGTATCATCAAAAAGCCAACCATAGCATCCTACTGGTCCACTCTCTGTTCCCGAACCACCCCATGGTTTGGGAAAATGTTTACCAAGCATTGCTTTTTCACTTGCTGCACTGCTTCTACCTCGTTAGCAAGGAAGGATTGCCAGGCCCTGGTGAACCAGATTATGATCTCTGTGCAAGGTACCAACTCCTTGTGGACAATGGAGACAGGGTGCTCAGGCATCACCACACCCCTCATCAAGAAATTGGTATTGACAAAAGCCTGATAGGTACCAAAAATAAAATTAGTCTCATGCAGTATTTTCCCAACAGGCACCACCACTGCTGGGGAATCAATTTGTATGATGTACGAATTTCTGTCCAATTACTGCCTGGGGGTTTTCACACAGAAAAGGGCCAGGTCTCAGGAAGACATGGACAGCATCCAAAAAAGTGGCTTGTGTTGCACTGTCATGAAAAACTACTTGAGATTTGGGGGTACCTGAACAAAGGCTATCATATCTTCGTCAACAGCTATTTCATGTCTGTTTCACTTGTCTGCCATCTCAATCAGCTAAGCACCTACATCACTGGAACTGTTAGGAGGAATAGGAACTTTTACTTCAGCAGTTCAACAGATCTTCAGTTGGACAAAAATGTATTGCAGATCTGGTCCCCTTCTTGTATGTGTTTTCTGTGAGAAGAAATCACAAAAAATCCTGTGATCCCTCTCTCCAGCCATGCCACAACTGAACAAGAGGAAGTATGGGGGAAGACATTGTGGCAATCCACAAATAAAACCCAAAATCATCGCATCCTGCAACAAGTTTACTGGCAACAACGATTCTTCAAAAATGATGCTCTACACCTATTTGGATGAAAGACGGACTGTGCATTATTGGAAAAAGATAGCTTTCAACATCATAGCCAGGATGGAGTTGAATAGCTACATTTTCTACAAGGAAAACTAACAACAGGGGGCCTGGCAAACTGAAATCGAGGTACAACTACACTGTGCCCATATTCAAGAGCTTGGGGGAGGAATGGTTGGCATTGAAGGGCAACCCTGGAGTAGGTTATCCTCAGGGGCCACAAGGATTCAGAAAAGGAGTCCCAATGCATTGTCTGCAGCACAAAGAGGAGATGGAAAGCCAGAACCGTATGCAACAAGGGGCTGCATGGAGAATGCTTCCCTAAACACAGGTGCTAACTGCAGAAGGTACAAATGCACCATTTTGTATAATGTGACATAATTCCAGACCAGAGAGCTCTTCATAAATAAAATTTATATAATAATTTAACAGAATAATATTCCCTTTCTTACAGGCATAGTGACAAGAGAAGATGACCAAAAAGACAGTTTTAATTTTTGCCTAAATTATGTAAATTTTAAATTTATAAATTTAATATGTTCATTTTCTGTTGTTTTCAAATTATTGCTGTTTTTGTTTAAATCTGCTGCTTATAATGAATAAGTATGATTTTTTCATATGTCTGACCAAAATTATATTCCTGGTGAATTTTTAAGTGAGACTTGAGCCAAATTCGCCTGAATGTTTTAGGCCAGGTACTTGGAAAGTAGGCTGAGTGCAGAAGGGTTGAAGATGGTGAAACACCTAAGAAGGATGTAAACATTCCTTTTTCCCACTGAAATCACACTCACCCAAGCATGCGATATGATTCATCATGAAACAAGAATGGTGGTGATTCATGGAGTTCCAGCAGATGGCCATATCTTATATATCATAAACCAGCTCTATGTCCATGAGTGAGAAGACTTTATAAAATCCATCCTGGAGGTTGCCAAAATATACCATCTCATTTGGCCTTTTCTAGAAGGGAATTATTGTTTAAATGCAACATTCCAGTGGTTCCCCACCCATTGTATTTGCTGAATTTGACACTAAGTGACAATTTTCTGTTCCTTATTTTGGAAGTATCAGAGATTATACAGAGTACAATCAAATTACATCACAAAGAAATTCAGGAGCCCTTTAGTAAATGGTAGAACCATCATTGTGTACAATCGATAGAAGGCTGTTCTCAGAGACATAGCTGGAGTAAGTATTATGGCTAGTTTTGCTCCCAAGAATTCACCCCAGAACTTTTTAATCAGAGTTCATATACAACAGTGCATACATGATCAAGTGATTCTTAATTAAGTATATTTATTTATACATATAACATTAGGGAACAAATTTGAGTTGATGTATAATTAACATACATTAATTTGATTTTTTCCCTGCTTTACTTAGAACGAGTTACATATGGGGAAATTCAAACACTGGTATTTTTGTTCATACTGCATTTCATATTTGAAGCTAGGATTGCATTAACATGGCAGCAACATTAATTATGTATGTATTGTCTTCCTCAGAATGCTGAAATGTCTTTCAATTTTGGTGCCCAGCCTTTCAAGTATAATCCTGCATCTAGTTATATTGCTGTGTGTGAAGCATCAAAGGAAAATGTAAAGCAGAATGATGTAGGGAGTGGAGGCATGTCATCACAGAGTAAATATGTCAGAAATGCTCCCCAGGCCATCATAATAGAGGTAATTTTTAGTTTTAGCAATGAAGGGAGAATATTTGTGTTTTACCATAGACCAGTGATCCTGAAGTAAAACTTTGCTACGGTTACACTCACTTTTAAGTAACAGAATGTGCAAGTTCCAAAATGTAAAAGAGCTGTAGTCATTTCTCCTGTAAAATAGATTTAACAGATGGTATATGGCAAACAAGTTTTGCAGAGAGACAGTGATTGACTTACAGAATGTGTTTTCTGCAGAGACATTCCACATACTGGGAGGGCACATTATCCTTAGACTGTCTGGGTGGAAATTTGTTTTCCCACGCCTGTCCTCTCTCGGCCACTGAATGTTTGCTGGCTTATGTTGATAGCACTTCAGGTTTAGTTGTCCAGATGTTTGGTTGTCCTTGTGGTACTAGAAGTACAGTTGCCAGTGTTTGAAATATAGCGTTCAGAAATGAAGTACAATATTGAACAGAAATTGTTCATATACAGTTATCTTTGTATGGCATCCTTTGCGGGGGAAACAGTGCTCTGTAAAACAATGATTTAGAATGTCTTAAAAGTCACGTTTAATGGAATCAGTGCTGGATAAAAAGAAATTTTGAATGAGATACAGTATAATGACTGAAGAAAAACTTGGTGACATCAGTGCTCAGTTAGAAACAAGCCTGAAGAAGTGTTTACGCCTCTTTATTCCTGATTTTGTGGAAGATAATTGGGCCCATTCTTTTTCATGAAACAAATTCCAAATGTTATGTGAGATTAATTCTGTCACCCTACTTCAGTCAACTAACTAATGATGATAAAATCATATGGGCATTTTATGCAATATAATGCAGTGGGACACACTGCAAATAGTTATATTGATGTATTAGATGAAGTTTTTGAGCGAGTAAGTCATAAGTTGATGGCTGTGTCCTCCATGATGACTCAATTTAAATCCTTGTGATTTTTTTTTGTGGGGCACACTGAAAGGAGAAGTGTATGTGGAAACTCCACACTCTTTCGAAGAACTTCAAAAAAACATCATTAGGTGTGAAATTTCTGGTATTCCCATAGAGCAGGTTCAGTTTGTGTCTAGAAACATGTTCTCATGATGTGAAGCATGTTTAGAAGCAGTGGGTCATCACTTCCAAGACTATTCTATAAAGTAATATAAGTGAAAAATTTGGCCATGAATGATTGGTTACTGCAGCAGGTCTGTGCGACATGAATGCCACGTCAACTGCAGAAAAACAGCTCTAAGGATAATCTGTGCTTCCTGTACTTTATCTTATAAAATTTAACTTAACTGTGTTAGCATTAAAAGTTTCTTCAACATATCCATTGTCCCAGCCATAAGGCACATTGCACCATCCTGCTGAATCCAATAGTTCCCTTTGTGAAGTTCCAGTTAGGAGGAGAAATGTATGGTTATGGAATCATGTGCTTCAACATTGACTCTTTCCACAAAACATTAACACCTCAAGCCAGCACTTAAACCTCTACTAGCTGTATACTGCAGTGATATTTAAGTGGCAGCGAACCTCATAGCATGACTAGGATGTACTTGGGATACCGGTATGAAGGGTTAATGGCCCTACATTTGTGTGATGTGACATCATACACCAAACGCCTATCTTGTAGGGATGTAAGATCATTTCTTGGAATACATGAAGTTTTTCTATCATTCAAAGTTGACTATTTTGAGAATTTGTATATCCACTGATGTGGAACCAGGCTTTATAGGTGAGGAATTGTCACTCAAAATTTCAGTCCCATTGTGGATGAAGTATTTGGACCATGTGAAGTATTGTAATCTCTTAATCTTGAGATAGAAGTTCATGCATAGCATGTATGTGGTAGAGATGCAGCCTGAGGTGTCAGCTAATTCATTTCTGTTAAGAATTGTATAATAATTTTCATTTCATGCATCCTGTTGTGTTATTATATACAATTCTTTATTAGAGTCTGTCACAACACAACAATACAATGGTCAAGGCTAAAATTAGCTTAGCTACATGTTTTGGCTATTAAAGCCATCATCAGGCAAACACATGATTACCATATTCACACACTACTGAACTTCAATTGTGACAGTGAAGTAGGATACTTGATAATTATTACATTATAAAATACATGGTAAAATACAATGAAGTATAAACTTATTATAAAATGAAAGTTATGGCATAAAATAAGGTTACCAACTTTTCATTTGATATTCCATATCATCAAGTCAGTTGTTGCAATTTGTTGTATTCCCGTGGACATAATGGTAAGTCCAAACACAGTCTTTATTTCGTTCATATCAGTCTTTTGAACACTGTTATTTTTTGCGTAATTTACTTGCTTTATTTCTATTTCGTCATTCGAATTCTTCAAAATTAGATCTGTCATGTCCTCAGGAAAGAGTATCTCCCAGCAATCTGTAACTGATCTTGCATTTTTGTGTTGCCCAGAACACCAGGGACTTGGCTAAATATGTTATGTGCTCACGTTCTTATTCAAGATCTTAATTGTTTTTACTCCATCTTGTTTTCTTATCCTTCACCAAGTAAAAAGCCCCCTCTGTGGATTCTTCCTCTGAAGATTCTTCCTCACAGTCTTGTTCTGTATCAGACTCGTGGTTACTGACTAATTCTAAATCAGTTTCACTATCATTATCTCTGCTAAATGACTCTTTGTCTGTCAAAGCGTCATCTGTAAGTTGACATAACCTCTGGTAAAAAAAAAATACTATTCTCAAAATACCTTCCAAATATTTACGAAAACATTTGCTTATAGTTGGTATGTAAAAATATAGAAGACACAGCAGTAAAGGTAATATTTGAGTAGAATATACATGAAAGCAACTTGAGTTTCAGAAGTAAATATAGTCACACTTTTGGTAAGGTGGGGTCTTGTGGACCCCAGCACATTTTACACATCTGCACACTGTACTTGCTTGCACACAACACCCTATCATCTTTGGCATCTAGTAGCGGATTACAGGAAGGGAAGCTACACTGAGGCACGACTAACTGCCACACATTCTTAAAAATTAAAGTCAATTACTCGTAAATATCTTACTAACACTGGCTTAGGTAAAGGAAAAAAGATTTATGTTTAGTGAAGGGAAGACATTTTACAACACTTTATTTGGCCTGATAGAAGGGTAGGGAATTTCAAGTGCATATATATGCTGTTTTTTACATAAATGCTGTCATGTGTATGAGTTACTGTAGATGGGGTTTGAATTTGTGACTCAATTTATTCACTACTTATACACACAACTCATAACTACAAGTAACTGTAACAATGTTGCTAGTGTCCACACTTTACAGAGTACTAGAGCACATGCTAAGTCTTCTCAGTCTGCTTTCATTAGTCGTTTCCAGGTAATGGATCTTAAAACTGGAGATTATTCAATTTCTGTGTTCATGTCATTGCCTGCTGGGTAATACAACTGACTCATTGCTCCAATTTCTATGCTGATAAAATCTTGGCATAAACTGCATAGAAAACACCATTCCTCTGTTGTAGTTCAATTGTTGCTGTTCAGCTGTTGCTTCTTAAGAATATCTTGCCTAGCAGCAGGCATTGTTTCATTGTGTAGTAACAGGTCTGCATGCTACAGTACTGTTGTTCTGATGAAGATCTTATATGATGTGCCCTTTCGTGGTACTGCATATTATTGCATTTGTATGGACTGCTCTTTGTGTAAGAACTAGCAGTCCTGCTCAAGAACAAAATAAAATATTCAGTAATGAAATCTGCCAAACTTTCTTATTAAATTTGTCGTGGCTATATTTACTCATATCCAAAAGGTATTGGAGACTTTGTCATGGAGTAAGCTGCTCTAGTGTGAAGCCTAGTACTGAGGTTAAGAATGCATATAGTAAGAAAGCATCTGACTTGCAATCAGTAGGTACATGATTCCAGGATACCAACTATACTGACTGAGGTTTTTGTACTTTTTGTCAGCCCCTCCAGACAAATGCCAGGGTGATACCTTTAATTAAGCAATGAATTCATTTTTCTACATTTGTTTCCAGTTCTAGTCTCATCCTGCAGTTCATTGCTGTGTTTTCCTAGATACTGACACATCAACAAATAAACCATAAATAAATACACCAAAACCACAAGAATGTATGCAGCTTTGCTTGCATTCTCCTGTACACCTTTATTGTCTGGTGCTTGAGGCACTGTCTTTTGGGATTAGCGAATGTCTTTAGATCACCATTTGATGCTTTCTAAAATTGCAGTCCTTACACTGTGTGTTGTTTGGCCTTTATTTTGAAAAATGTTATAACTTTTGTGTTATTTTTTATAATATTAGAGTATACAGACTAATTTATAATTTTTTGCCTAGCCATCACGTGAACTTGCTGAACAGACTTACAATCAAATCCTAAAGTTCAAGAAGTATTTAGAGAATTCTGCAGTGAGGGAATTGTTGGTCATTGGTGGCATAAATGTGAAGGATCAGATTTCTGCTCTTAATGCTGGGGTAAGTTACATGTCATTTTGTTGTATGGTAGGTACACAGAAACATAGTCCTGATTATAAGGATTTATATTATTTTCTTGACTTTGCTGGGAATGAGATGAAATGTGTTAGGACAGCAGTGGCTTCACAGAACACAAATTTTTGATACTTGCACTTTTGAAATGAATGGGAATTAACTGGATCAGAGTTACTGAGAATTTTGATATATGATGATGGAAATTGTACATTCTTCAGCTTTAATTCAAAATATTAAGTTTGAAGATTTCTTTGGGAAAAATGCCTATTCACATCCTTCACACAGTCTGGGCAACAGGTCACCATGGTGTCTAAAATTCTCATGCAGCAAAGACACACCACTTAAACCTACCATAAGTTCAGGCATGTAATGACATCATGGTTGGACAAGAATATTGTCATGTAGTGACTGGACATGGGGGTTGAATTGATAATTGGATTTATTGAACGCTTGTAACTGATAAGTGTAAGAGAATCACTGATTTACATGCCCTGTAGATCATTACAACTACAGCACATTCAGGTGCTGGTCCTCATTACATAGCCTTGGCATGGATTGCATAGAAAACACTTCCAGGTTTTGGCCATCGTATAACATTGCTCCCTTCTTAAGGCTGCTTGTCCCAAGTAGCCTTCACCATTAGTCCTTCTCTGAGAGGACATGCCTGTGACATGCAAACACCATCAAGAATGGCACCTCCATGTCTTCCTGGCCCTGACGCTTCTATTTTACTTCTGGTCTTGATGGCATACGATGGGGTACCAAAAAGAAACCGAACTAATTTTTTTGTGGGCAGAGCTTTTGTAGTACCGCGTTTTGCCGCTATGAGCGCATAGAGCTAACATTCCTGAGTCGATAAGCCGACTACCATTGCTTCAGAAGGTAAGGACTAGTTTCGGCAGAGTTTATAGTGACAACTGTTTTGTGTGATCGTCGTTTTTGCAGTGGCTGATTTTCGTGAACAGCGTGCGGCGGTGAAATTCTGCTTTTTGCTCGGGAAAAGTGGAACAGAAACTCTTGAAATGTTAAAAACGGCATACAAGGACGATGCTATGGGGAAAACTCAAGTGTCCGAGTGGTTTTCCCATTTCAAAAATGGTGAAGTGTCAATTGATGACAAACCTCGTTCTGGTCGTCCTTCCATGGCCCGAACACATGAAAATGTTGAAAAAATTCGTGAAATCATCAAGGAAGATCGACGACGGACCATTGAAGAAATTGTGGAGCTGTCGGGAGTGACTTGGAGCTCAGTTCAGCGAATTTTGACAGAAGATTTGGGAATGAAAAGTGTGGCTGCGAAATTCGTGCCATGACTGCTGACTGCTGAACAAAAACAAGGTCGCGTGGAAGCATGCTGTGCTTTGGAAGAAGACAGAGGCAAAGGAATCCAACTGATCTGTTGTAAAAGTCGCTCACACCTACTTCTAATAAGGATTCTCACAGTTCTTCAGCTGAAGATAGCTTCTGCTTGCAATAGAATAATTGTTGATTGCAGTACACAGAAAGTTTCATATCACTGCAGACATCAGTAGATTCTGCAATCAAAGGGGCAGACTTAAAATGAGCTCTTGTGTGATTAAAATTAAATAACATGCCATGATAAAGTTCAAGGTATGACATTCTGCAGTAAAAATATGTGTATATTTCCTTCCTAAAATAAGGGGAAGAGGACATTACATGAATAAATCTGATATATTTTGTGACCCAAAAAATGTAAAGAGAGTTCGTACTCATTGATATTGCCAAATTCCATGGCTTATTCTAGAACTAGTCGGAATAGTAGAGTATCTTAGTTGTAACAAAGTCAGGAGTAGCAGCATACTCTTACTCATTAAAGGGTTAGGTACGGCTACATAAGAGAGTTTGTGTTACAGCCTGGCTGTCAGATATTTGTCGATATATTGAAAATTTGTATTAATATTGCTTTCAGGTGGACATTGTTGTTGGTACTCCAGGAAGAATGGAAGACTTAATTTCAGCTGGACACCTCTCACTGACTCAGTGTCGTTTCTTTGTACTTGATGAAGCTGATGGATTACTGAAGCAGGGGTACACAGAACTTATTGATAGACTACATAGGCAAATACCCAAGATCACATCTGATGGGCGACGCCTTCAGATGATTGTGTGTTCAGCAACACTTCATGCATTTGAAGTTAAGAAGATGGCTGTAAGTTTTCCTAAGAGCAGGCTACAGCATGTTCAGAAAAGTTGTTGTTCTCTGTACAGTAATTATGTAAGATATATTCTGTAATGAATACTTGGTATAGTGATTCTTACACTGGTAGTGAAGGGAAATGTGTCAATCAGCTGTATATTAGCCAGTTTGATAGCATTTGCATAGCAGTACAATATTGTAGCATGTACAGCCATTGCTGTGCAGTGGCTGCACGATAGGCAAATAAATAATTGTTATTTCTGGGCAGCGGCTTGGTAAACATGTTTCTGTGGTAACGAATACGCATGCAACAGTAGAAGAATGGTGTTTTCTATGTGGTCAACGCTGAGATGTTATATTCAGGACAGCTGGAGCAATGAATTTAGTAGAGTTCTTCATGGGAGGCTGTAAAAATTGGACCTGAGTGCATGAAGCTGAAAAATCTCTGCTGTTAGAAGCCATTTCCAGGGAGCAGCTGGTAAAGATACAGAAGGCTGGAAAAGGCTTAAAGGGTGCTGTGATGATTTGTGAATTGTGGAGATTAGAAATGGTGCTGTAGTTCAGTTGGGGGATATTCACTGGACTGTGAGCATGGAAGCTGAAGAATCTTCATTGTTGAGAGCTGTCACCAAGCAGTGACTAGTGAAAATACTGCAGATTGGAGAACCCTTATTGGCTTTCTGCAACTGCTTATTCAACATATTCACAGCTTCCCTCCATAAGTGTAGGGCATCTCCTCCATCTGCAACTTGAGGATACGCCATACCATGGTGGCAAGGGACCCACCTGACATGGCCCATCTTCTAAAATGGGGGGAATGATGGCCTGCTTTTATACACATTGGACTTATTCCACAGTAATGAGAGTTGAGAAATATCTAATATCCTTTTTTAACTCAGCAGTCCACTAATTGCAACTGGAGACTGTTAATTTTATGTCAGGATATAGTAATATATTTACTGGAGTGGACCCTTTTAAAAGAAGAATTTATGCAGTAATAAAGTATGATATATGTGTTATGCACATTACATTTTTAAGATAATTTTGTAATAAATCTCAATCACTGAAATCTGTTCTGAATGTCCTGCAAGCACTTCAGTGCATGCTATATTTTGCAGGAGCGGTTGATGCATTTTCCTACATGGGTTGATCTGAAAGGTGAAGATGCTGTACCTGAAACAGTACACCATGTTGTGGTAATGGTAGATCCTCAGAAGGATACCAGCTGGCACAGCCTGCGACGTCATGTTCAGACAGATGGTGTTCATGCAAAAGACAATGTTCGCCCTGGAAACAATACTGCAGGTTAGTAACATATTTGTAGTGTACAGTAAGTGTTTTGCAGATTTTAATAAATCATTAAATAACAAATTTAGTAATAATTCTGTATTTTTTACAAAAAAAAATTAATAAGTATAATATTGTGAGACCAGGAAACTTCTGAAACAGGAACATAAATGCACCCTTCTAACACGTTGATTTTCATACTGCCTTTTGGTGAGGAAAACTGTAGATGCTAAGAATAGATCACAGTACTGGTAACAAATCTGTAGGCCAGGGTGGTTTTACTGAGTGAAGAACATTTAGTTTATGTTGGGTAAGATTTTTCAACAAGAATTTCAGAACATTCTTTTCTGAATATCTCTGCTTTTATAAAAATCTCCAATTAAAAAGTAGAAATTATCTATTTTCTGTTTGATGTCATTATCAGAAATTGATTTTATACCATTGTTGTATATGTACAGGTAGGTATATTGCTGTTATTATTCTGGTATTCAGTGTTACTTTAAAATATTCAGATACTGTAATCAGTGGTTATGTAATATATAATCAGTAAGGCAGCATGAAAGTATTACAGATATTCTCTCCTAGTGGAATGAGAACCCTGCAAGTATCTAACCACAGGTGCCTTCCCATAGACTAAACAAACTTAATGGAATGCATGAAACCCAATTATCCCATTGTGTGTATGTGAGAGCAGGACTTGGGAATGAAGATTACCCCAATGTCAAGTCTTACCTCATACTGTAGCTTCAAAGAGGCAAGACCTGGAAGTCTTGAAATGAGTAGGATCTACCATCCTCAAGTAGAACATAACTAACCCTGTTTTGTATAATTTCTGTTGTTCATTTAATCCCAACCTATAGCGAATATGCTTACACTTGAGCACATCCAAGTATCATTGAGAAACAGTGCAGTATTTGAACAACATTTATGTTAGTTAAAAATACAGATATAATTAAATACTATGAAATTAAGGCACTTACATAAAATTGCATATAAAAAATATAATTAGATTAAAGAGATTTACATTATTTCATATGAATTGAAACTTTATGATTGATTATTGCCTCAGGAATGACAACAGACTGATATTAATGATTACAGAGACTCTGTCAGAGGCAGTGAAGATGCTGAAAGGTGAATATTGTGTTCGAGCTATCAACGAACATAAGATGGATCGTGCAATAATTTTCTGTCGTACCAAATTGGACTGTGACAATTTGGAGAAATATCTCAATCAAGTAGGTCAGTGGTAACGATAACATGTATTGTTTCTTCTTTAATGATTTTAGCTCACTTTGACACATTTCATCCCCACTGTAAAATCCCTGTAGCTCTACTATTCTGTGTACAGAAAAATTTTTATAACCATGTTTTTTAATGTGCCTTGAAATGTCAGTATTACAGTGAATTTGTTCGTGTGTGTAAATTGTTCACTGTCAGTACAATCATATGGCATTTGTTTAATGACTGTGATATAAACTACAGGTTTGCATACTGAAACCGGTATCTGATCAGAAAATTGGGATCTCAGACATTTAACAGTGAAGAAGTTACTTTACAGATTACCAACCATGGACATGAATGCTGATTGAAATTTTTCAGGATGACAAGTGTTGCTCCATACTTTGTTATATGGTTACTTGCTCTTGTTCATAGTTCTTTGTTTACTCTCTCCTCTCTAACCCCCTCCCCACCCACATTCTTTCTGCATTAGACAGGATCCAGTCAAGTATGTAAATGTTCAGTTCCCGCTGTTTTGCTCTTGTGATAGTATTCAAGGAATAATTTAAGTGTTGAAAAAAGAACAATAACAATGAGTTTAATCAGTTTGAAATTCTGTATACTCCCTCCTACAGAATTTAAGTAATCAATACCCTTTTTGCATTAAGGATGTCTCGGGTACAAATCTAAATGCAGGGACCAGCTGTTTTCCATTTCATTATTCACTAATCCTATTGTTTGATGCTACGTAAATTTGGTACTTGAAGGAGTCTTTAACTGAGCCAAGAATAAAAAAAGGAATGCATTCCACTTTGACAGCTGGTTTGAGTGAAATTACAGTGAAACCCCCACTTAAGTGTTCTTTTGGGAGCAGAGAATTTGAACATTAAACTGAGGATAATCATAAACAGATACAATTTAATGTTGAGATATTGGTTTGGAATCACTGAAATTGGATGTTAAGTAAGGGAAGGCCTTAAATTGAGGAACATTAAATGGATGTTTCACTCTATGTCAGAATATTAAAAAATTGATGCACTTAAAATTTCAATAAAAAATATTCAAATGTTTTTGGTTCAATTGCAGTCACCGACAGCCTGCTGAATTCATGTTCATTCTCTAAGAAATCATTTATAAGCACAAATTAAATCACTTTTATCCATGCCTCTTCCTAAGTATAACAGTTTAATTCAAGGTGGAGGTTCTCGCAGTCACAACAACACATACTCCTGTGTCTGTCTTCATGGAGATCGCAAGCCACCTGAGCGTAAAGCTAATCTTGAAAGGTTCAAGAAGCAAGAAGTCAAATTTCTAATCTGCACAGATGTGGCTGCCAGAGGACTGGATATTACTGGTCTTCCCTTCAGTAAGTATAAAGAATGTCCTTACATAGTTTAACTGTTAACAAAGAAAATTTCGTCATACAGAGAAATCTTTCTTGTGTTGATTAGCAAGTTTTGCTGAAATAATTTAATTTGGGTAGGAACAGCATAGTGTTATTCTGTGAAGTTTCTATCTTCATATAAATGTAGCTATCATTTCAGAAGTTGTGGAAGTTAGATATGTTTGATGAAGTTTGTTTTTCTCAATTCCTCATTGAAATTTTAACAGGCTTTATGCTAGTAAGGCTTACACATATAAAATGTTAAAAGATCTCTTGAATGTTTATTCCCTTTCTCTGACAAATGAAGAGTCATATTCTGTTATTTGTAAAAGGATTGTATTGGATATGCACCATTGTCTTAGTTAAATTTAAAAGTATACAAATTTTCAGAAGCTGGATTTACTTCTGCCATTTTGTATAAAAAAGGGAACAGGAACCTATTCAGTCAGGTCTGTTAGAGCTAATCATGATTACAGGGCAACAAAGTAAGTTCATGGCAGTGCATATATTCTGCTGCCATGCAAGCGGGAATTAAAACACTAGAGATATCATCATTGGGAGCAGGGAATATGGACAATTTATAGTTGGAATATTACTTAATATTTTATAGCAGAGGGAGTCATCTTGCTTTATTTGCTGATCACCATTTGTCTGGTTTTGATGAAGACCATCTTTTTGAGTTTCTGAATGGCCCTTCTTTCTTCCTGGTGTAATATTTCTGTCTTGTCCCATTGTGTTCTGTGGTACTCATCCCAGGAGTGTTCTAGCTTTGACTTGGTTATTTCTTCCATTTTTTATTTCCTTAGTGTGTGATGATTCTGGTGGTCAGTGGTCTACCTGTTTCCCTGACATATCTTTCTGCATTCATATGGGATTCTGTGTATACATTTAATGGATTATTTTATCTTACTTTTAGTTTAGTTCTTGTAAGTTTCTCCGGTCTAGAAAACTGAGATTAACGGCCTTGGGGATCCGTTGTGCTGACCACGTGACACCTTCTATCTACTAAAGTTGGCACTAACTTTGCCGACAAGCGGTGGTCGCTTGGTCGGTATAGTTCACTTGCAGACTACAGGCTACAGCGTTTTTTTTTTTTTCTTTAAGCTTCATTTTCTTGTGCATGGTCTGAAGGCTGCACATACACCTCTAGTGCTGGAAAACATATAACCTGAATCTCAGTACCATTTGGATATTCTGTGTATAGTGTAGAATATTCACATTGAGATGCATTAGAACTTTCAGAGTTCTTCTTGCAAGCAACACAAACTGTTTCTCAGTATCTCCTGTCCTTTGTGTTTTAGAGTGTTTGTAATGTGGTGAAGACTTATAGCCACTCTGTATACCTCAGGATTACATTACAATTTCCAGTTCAGCTTTACATATAAAGTGAACTGTTGTAAATTGACCTCAGTTTAGCATCTATATGTAGACTGTCAGTCGCAGATTGGAGTTTTAAAGATGGATGCCAGGATAGCATTAGCTCAACCACCAAAGAAACTGAAAATTATGTCACAATTGAATCTTTAGATAAAAGTAATTGGTTTCATCACATCCATTGGATAGAAGATTATGGGCTCCCAAAATAAATCAGGAACTGCCGTGTGATGAGGAGAGACGATTTTGTATTATTGTCTGAATTTCATTGAATAATTTTTGCTGTACACTACAGTGATCAATATAACTCTGCCTGATGAGAAGTCGAATTATGTGCATCGAATTGGTCGTGTTGGGCGAGCAGAAAGGATGGGTCTGGCTATTTCACTTGTGTCAAGTGTGCCAGAAAAAGTATGGTACCATGGAGAGTGGTGTTCTTCTAGGGGTCGTAATTGCTGGAATACGAGGCTCACGGATGTAGGTGGATGCTGTATTTGGTATGATGAACCTAGAGTAAGTATCCATATATATATAATCATCCATCCTCACTTTACACCTAGGCATGCTGAACGAACATGTTCGAACAGTAAACTCAGAAGAATGTGAATGATGGGAATATAGCAGTCACGGCTAAATTGGGATCATAGGTCTTGAACAATAAGCAATGAGAAACCTTAAGTTGAGGAATATTACATGGGTCAGTGATAAGTAGAGCTAGGATTTTTATGTAGTATTATCATGCAAACTATGTACATAAATATGTAACAGAAACCTCTGAAATAGATAGTAAAATATGTGGATCTATTAAAATGTGTAACATCACATAAAAGTAGTATTTCATTTTGCAAGCAACCTTTATTTACAATCTTATGGCACAATCATTGATTTCTTGTTGCACAATACACAGAATCTTTTCCATGTTTTCTGGGGTCACTGATTGTCTTTTATCTGATAGAATATGTCTGTAGGTTAAAAAGGATCTTTTTACATCACAAGATGTCACTTTTAACGAAGGAATTTTCTCAGGAGCGGTGTCTTCAGAGGGACGTACATTATCTCCATTAAGTGCTTGACAAGACTCTGGTAAATGTCAAAAATCTAGAGTTTCTTTCTAACACTGCCTGCAACTTGGTGGACACACTTTCACCAGCCTCCCCTTTCACAACACTAAGCTTTTCACTTGCATTTTTCATTAGATCCATAGATTCTTGCATAGGAAGTCCCTGGGTTTCTAAACATTTTATAGTCTCCAGATGCCAGCTGAAATTACTTTGGACATAGGCAATAGAAAATAGGCCACTTTTGGATCGCTGAACACACTCTGGGATTCATGCATCGAAACAGTATCAGATGGGAACATGGCTACAGTTGATTTCACTGCTTCAGAGAGTTCACTGTAGAAGTTGACTGCTTTTATGCAGGTTCCCCATCTTGTTGGCACTGGTTCAGGGGGCAGGAGTGCATCTGGCAAGAGCTGCTTATAAGATTGCACTAGATGTGGGGCTTTCAGAAACATTTTTTTCTTTGTCATTGAAATTAGTTTATTTATGTGGGGGCACTTGGCTTTAACCTCCTTGGCAAGATGTTGCAGCCCATGAGCCAAGCTAGTAAAATGAATCAAATTAGAGTAAAACACTTTCAGTGCAGTTGCAGCTTTCAGCATATGTGCTGCAGCATGTGAATACAGAATTAGCACCTCCTCATGAAGTCCAGTAGGCCACAACACTTTAAGCCTGTCATTCACAAATTTTGGAACAGTGGAATGATTTGTATGGCGCAGAACTTTGGAGCAAAACAGATGTGGATTAGAAGGAACTTCAGTGTCTAACTTGTTAGCCACAAGGTTTGCGATTAAGCAACCCATGGAATCTGTTGTTTCATCCACAGCAACCTATATAAAAGCATATCCTAAGTTACCTTTTATGTTTTCCAAGGTTTCTTTATAGCAGACAGATAATATTTTCAAAGTGTTGGCTGGTCTGGAATATGTTGCTTACGGGACTTTTCCAAAAAGCACCAAAATTCGATAATTTGGAGTTTAAAGCAGAGGATGTTCATGGACACCATCCAGCTGCACATATTCTTAAAGAATTTGTTTCTTGAGGTCAAATATTCCTGCATCTGTGTTAAGAGCACTTGCTTCTTCAAGTAACTTGGTTGTTCTTTGTATATAGCGCACTTCATATATGTTGCTCCATCTACGATTTCATGGAACACCCGAAACTTTTGTCGCAAGCAAGACATATTACGAATTTACCATCGGTTGTGAAGGAATTGTCTATTTTTGCCCACAAATTTAACTTTGACCCAGAGAAGATGCAACCAGTGCCATGACGATATCGCATGCACAAACTTGAACTGAACTCATTGAACTGCTCATACAAAACTAAAATCACTTTCAAAAATTTCAGGACAAGTACGCAGTTTGTTAGGATTGAACAAGTATATTTGGTGAGAGGGGAAGGGGTTTTAACTGCAACACAAAGGAACATCATTTGAATTCATAGAAGAATCCCCACTGCACAGGTCACACTAATGAACAGAATTACCTAGGGGTTGTATTTTACTCTGCTTTACAAAAGAGATATTTCCTTCCAAATTGTCCCATCATTGCAGAAAAAGTCTTTTGGAATGGTGGAGGAGACCATTAGTGAGGTATTTCACCAAAAATATAGGCACTTTCCAGTTTAAATGCAAGTACAGAAAAATATCACAAAATATGTAGGTTTGTGTAACATCCAAAGAAATATGTAGGAAATGCCAAAATATGCAAAAGTATGTAGAATAAAATTCAACTGTAGAAATGCTAATGCTACAATTCATGGAGATTATTACTTTCTGATCATCTACATAGTAATAAATATGTATTTTCATGAAAGTCCAAACTCTAATGATAAGTGATCACATTGCATTAATAATGGTGAACAAGAGGAAGATGCTGATCGTAAGTGGCAAACTGAATGTGATCAGCAGAGTAGAAGCCCATCTGAATACCCAGCACATTGAAATGGCTAATTACCTTGTACTCCCCTTGTCTATGTTAAGAAAAATCTTGCTTTCAAAAGAGAAATTCACAGATGGAGGATTTAAGTGGGGGGCACATGCCAAGAAAAGAAAGAACTTGAAGGAAGGAGCATACAGTTAGTTTGAAATGATCCTGCTGGAATGATCCCAACAAGTGCGGTCAGATGATACTCATATTAATGGACCCACCCTTTGAGAGAAGGCAAATTAAATTACACTTTGTAATATAAACAATTTTAAACCATAAAATGAATGTCTGCACAGGTTTAACCTGAAGCATGATGTGCTGCATAGGGTGGTGACTGGAGAAAATTGGAGTGGAAGTGTAAGCCAAGACTCTGTAAGCCATTGGTTAAATGAATCTGTACTAATAAATGGCTCGACATTTTCAGCAGAGATGATGAACCTGCACTATTTTATTCACTGATGCCAGGTATAGGTCTTATAAGAGGGAAAGCCTGCACAGGTGGAAAGAAATCCCAAGAAGAGTGATAATATTACAGTGATGTAATAAGAGAACAGAAAATCTGCCACCACTTGCAACTGGAAGGTTTGCAGAACTTAGGTGTTTAATAAACATATCCAGTCTCCCATGAAAATACATTAATTATTTTTATGCTTGGATGATGGTAAACGTTTTTCTTAATTTTGTTCGTCAATATGATGCCAGGATGGGATCATCATACAGGAAAGTGCTGCTCTTTGTGGATAAGTACCCTGCCCATCAACCAGACACAGCATAAAAAGGTAAAGCTTGTATTTCACCCTACTGTATAAGCAGACTGCAACCCCTTTGATCTGGGTGTGATACTCTTTGAAGACTGCATACAGGAAGTCACTAGTTCAGAAAGCTGTGCTCCCATTGAAAAGAAGAATGGACTAAAATTTAATGTTATGCAGGGTATGCACAAGATAGCGACCTTCTGGAATGCAGTAAGTTATTAATTGATTTAGAAAAGCTGGCTTCACTACTACACATGCCCCCCGTATGGAGGAGGAGGAGACTGTCTTCCAAGATTAATTTCCCCGATTTTGACATTTGTGATAATACTCCTACAGCATCAAGACTCACCATTGAAGACATGTGTAATGATGCAGAAAAAGACATGGAAAATAGAGATGCAGAACACGACTTAGAAGTTGAAGAAGAAACGCCTGTTCCTACATTTCTAGAGGCACTTGTTGGCATTGAAGCTGTTTAATGATATGTATATGTGCTCCTTCAAAATAGATGATGCCAGCCTGGTTTGCCTTCAGCAGTGTGCAAGCAAGTTGCTGTTCATTTGACAGACACACCTAACAAACAGAAGTCTCTCTTGGATTCTTGTAAAAAAATAATCTTCCAGGTATGTTTGGGAGCATGCATTCTGCTTTTGCAGCTGTGCTTTATGTTACCCTAACCATGGTCACAGGAATTGTAAAAGTTACATTTTATTAAATTTTGCTCTTTCCAGATTAAACCAAAAAATGTGACTGCACCTGCTCACAGAATTTTCTTATTATTTTATATATATTCCCTCCTCCACCCCTTAGATTTGTTCAGTTTAGATACATACATGAAAATATAGCATTCATTTTGTGAGGTTACTCTAATTAGACAAGGTTGCCCTTTTCTATTTTTATTTACTTATTTGTAATGATTTTTATAATGTATGTTTGTTCGTGCTTTTTTAGTTGACAATAGGTATTTGATGTGGAGACCGAAGTATAATATTCTATTCAAATTTCATAGAACCCCCACTTAAGAATTTTTTTTATTTAAGGTACAAAAATTCCATCACCAAGCAAACCTAATAATTTGTTTCATCCACAACTGCATTAAATAGGGGTATAAGTTCTGGAAGGTGATCAGTTTCTTACACTAAATGCAGATTGACACAGAGATATTGGATTTTTGGACTTTATCCATCATCCTGGTTTTTTTTTAAGATAACTAAGAAAAACACGATGTTTCAGAAACTGGATCTGTTTCCGTCCTCAGTTGAGGGAAAATGCCTATTCTGTTGGGTCCCTTAGAAAGAGCTAGCCTCAATCACTGGACCGCAAGACGATGGATAAAGTCCAAAAACCCAGTATCTCTGTGTGTTATACACCATTGTCAGAATCCTATAGTAACTACTTAAATGCAGATTATTTACCAGGTCAAATAATAAATTGTTTATACTGGGCTTCATCTGCTTTCAGAAACAGTGTTTACTAAATTCAGATTTCATTGTAATTGGCTTCATTCATTCATCAGTAATCTGTCAGATGACAGGTCCACAGCCTCTTCCAAAACAGTTTCTCCACTTAATGCGATCTTCTGTTTTTGGAAAGAGACTATCCAGGAATAGTGATAATGTGGTAGTTTTTCCATTTGCTTTCCACATCGCAGTACAACAGCCGTTCAAACCACTCTGGTCACGCCTGTTGCTATACGAACTTGAACCATCTCGAGCATCATTTTCTCTGTGCTTCAAGTCGCCGCTGATGACGCTGCTTCCGGCATCTGTTTTCGGTGTCTCTCTTCGTCTGATGCCTACCCTTTGACCTGTCCAGCAAGGGAGGCCCTGCCAGTAGCTACGCTACCGCTGGTATAGCTCTCAGGGTCCTTGGCATACTCAAACACCCTCACCACGATAAGGTGGAGACACCAACGAGGGGGTAATTGGCTTATAGTGCATTAAATCTGATTTGTAATTCATAATTAACCATTAGTATTTATTTGTATAGTTTCTGGCTGAAATAGAGGACCATCTGAATGTTACTATCCAACAAGTGGAACCTGATATTAAAGTACCAATGGATGAATTTGATGGGAAAGTAATTTATGGGCAGAAGCGTTTGCAGACAGGTAAGCTCTTTTATATAACTTAGATCAGTAAATAGCCCCTGGCAATTTTCATGAAAAATATCAGTATCTGAATGTTTTTGTGTGTCCATCGATTCAGGTTTTTGGAACATTTATGTCAAAGTGATAATACTGAATGTGGCAGTAAACCAATTTTTGTCTGTGATTGTGGCCACAGCATATTAAACACATGTTGTTTATATAGTACTGTGAGAACAGACTTGAAATGGTAAAGTGTAAAAATGTTTATTTGTTCAAGGTTCAGGCTATGAAAACCACGTTACACAGATGGCACCAGCTGTTCATGAGTTGTCACAGCTTGAAAGCAAGGCTCAGTTATTGTACCTAAAGCGCCACTTTGGAAAGGATATATGTAATAGAAACTGAATAGCTGGCAGCTCTGTTGACCTGAAGATGGTTTGGAATAAAATTTCAGAAGGAGAATATTGTTGAGATTAAAATTAATTTAATACTATATTGATGTGTGACAAAAAGTATAAAGAACTTAAAACTTATGATGAATAGATGTAGGTAGCTACAAATTAACCTTAATGTACCTGTTGAGCAGGAAGGTCATGTATGTGTGTGCCTTAAATAAATGGCACTCAAAACCAAATTAGTATATTACTTTATTGTATTCCTCACATTTCTTGATTTTTCTGCAGAAACGTTTGCATTAAAATAGACTGAACAGAGAATAGGCAAGAGCACAACCTTCTAATTTTGCAGCAAGTTTCATGTAAGCAGATGTTTGAAGAAATGAATTTGATAATATTATTCTGCAATTACAGAGAGTAAATAAAATGAACCATTAAAATCAGCTTGCTATACCCACAGTGAAATCTTACTATTAAAAAGGGTGTGAGCGTCAAGTCCACTTTGCAAATTAAAGGATGTATTGCATTTATCTTCACTGTTAATACAAAACTTGAATTCTTACATAACTCCTGTAAAAATATTTGTATGAAGTATACTACAAGATTATAGGCTGTTAGAAGATTTAAGGTGTACATGGTCTGACAATAGAGTTCGTGAACGCGCCACTGTATGTTTGCTGTGGCAGCAGTCGACAGAAACCTCAGTATGGTTTGATGACATTGGCATATCAATGTTTCACAGCTGTGTTGTTGATCTACGGAAATCTCTTTCCGAGTGGCGTCTATTATTGTCTGAGTGTGTTTTGGTGTGCCATCATGGGAATGTCATAGCTTCTTGTTAAACTTGGCAAGAGTAGAAGCGAAATCAGTGACTTTAGTGCAAGTTTACAGGGCTAATGCTATGAAGAAAACAGCAGTTTACAAGTGAGTGACATGTTTTTTCTGAAGGAAGAGAAAGTGTCACTGATGAAGAGAGATCAAGATGGCCAGCAACAAGCAGAACTGAACACTGCAGAAGTTCATCGAATTATGCATGAAAATCGTCGGCTGACTGTCAGGAGCATACCAGAGTGAGTGAATATTGACAGAGAAACAGGAAAATCTAAACTGAAGATCTTGACATGAGGAGGGTGTATGCAAAAAATGGTCCCAAAGGGCTTGCTCACACAGTACTTTCTGTGAGGGAGTTTTTAGCAGGTAAACAAATAACTGCTGGAACACCCTCCCTGTTCACTGGATCTAGTCCTCAGTGACTTGTTTCTGTTCCTGGAGATAAAGGACATATTGAAAGGAAGGCGTTTTGGTCACATTAATGACAACAAGAGTAATATGATGGCAGCTCTGAAGGCCATTCCACAAAACCAGTTCCAAAATTGTTTGAAGAGCAGACTAGGAGCTGGCATGAGTGCATACTCCTAAGGGGAGTACTTTGAAGGCAACCACAGTCAAACTTTATTGTCAGACCACGCATTTCTTGCCCCTGTTCTTTGGGTATAGCATATTGAAGAGACCTTATAAATCAAAGGGGTTAGAGGTGCATAGCACTTCTAATGGAAGCTTCACTTCACACTTGTTTATGGACCATTTTTCAGGTTATATGTATGAGTTCTGCTTTTCTTCTTCAAATCCCACATTAATACTCTTGTTCTTCCTCCAAGTGTTTATCGACTGCATTGCCATTTCTTTGTTCAAATTTTGGACAGAAAGCTGATCTGCTTCCTAGACCAAGTGGATACTACGTGCATTCATTGCATAGCTCCGCTGTCACTTTATTGACTACTAAGCTTTGTGCAAGTGCAAAATACCACATCTTCTGCGGATGAGTCCGTACTAAATTTGAAGTAAACATGTTTGGCCTTTAAATCATCACATATCAATCCTAGAGAGTAAGTGGAAGTTGGGGATAAGTAAGTTTTGGAACATGGACAAATAGTTTAATATTTATAGCTTTATAGCCCTCATGAGCCAAGTAAGTAGTCTGTAGTTACAAAATAAATCTTATTCTGCCAATACTGTTGCACCAGTGTGAACACAGATCACAATTTCATATTTAATTTTTACAACTTTGCTTCGGCATAGTTCAGCGCACAGCATAGTGTTGGTGTTGAATGATGCGACTGGGAGAATGGACTGGACTATTCAAAACTTACCACAGTGAAAAAGTGTGCTAAATTTATAAATAGCATTGCCTTTAATTTAACTGTTTTAATTTATAAAATTCAGATTCTTCCTCATTCAGAACCCTGGATGATTCAAACATCAGATATGGTCTGGATACAGTAATGGGTAGATTAATTGAGTGGAGGTGAATATACAGTGCTTGTAAGTATACACTATATTTGACACTGTTGTTCACAGCTGTATACATGAGTATCCCTTGTTTTATGAACACTTCACTTGATGTACAAATTTTTACTACAGTGAAGCATTTTAATTTCCAACTATTTTTCACTAAAGCAAATTTCAGTTTTGCTTCAACACATAATTTATATTCATAAGTATTTTTTTTTTTTTTTGTGAAGGCAGAGAAATACACAAGACATAGGCGAGGTGGAGACTTATAATAAATCTTTTTGTCTCTGTAATATGTGTGCACTGCATCTATCATAATTGTTGCACAACCATTTCACCATCTAGCGTATACCGTATCAACTTTGTAGTTGATAGCCCCCCCCAGCAAATATCTTTTATTGTTGTTGCTTACTTACTCATGGAGCTGAGCCCTTCTGGAGGAGCCGCCAATTCTGCAGCTACTCAAGAATTTCCCACCATTTTATGGAACCTGAAGGTTCATTACCATGTTCACAAGGGACCTCCACTGGTCCCTATCCTGAGCCAGATCTATCCAATCCATACCATCTTATTCTGTCTCTCTAAGATCCATTCTAATATTGTCCACCCACCTCATCCTCCTTGACTTCATCATTCTAATTACACTTGGAGAAAGTAGAGAAGTACAAGTTATGAAGCTCCTCATTATGCAGTTTTCTCCAACCTCCTGTCACTTCATCTCTCTTCGGTCCAAATATCCTCCTCAACACCCTGTTCTCAAACACCCTCAGTCTATGTTCCTCCCTTAATGTCAGAAACCAAGTTTCACACCCATACAGAACCACAGGCAAAATTATAGTTTTGTATATTCTAATTTTTCTACCATGCAAATATGCATTTTAATTGATTTCTAGCTATAATGATGTGTGGCTGAGAGGCTACACATTTGCATTGCATCAGCTCTGAGAAAATAAACATGAACACAATAATACAGTTTGCAGCCAGCACCTAGCTTTCACGTGTCTGACAGCAGAATGGTTTGTCGGCAGGACACGGACCAGGGCGTTTCGGTGACCAGGATAGAATGCACTCTGGGGTTTTGAAATACACAATCCCTCCAACACGATGACTAATGTATATTTCCTCTGATTAGATGACACACTGGTACACTTATGGCTGGAAGGTTACATGAACCCTCCACTATGCTTGCGCTTTGCTGTCACTTCGTCGTCGACCACAGACTTCTTCACGCTGCCCCCAAGCTCCTGTTGTAACTCGCATACTAGTTCCCACTAGTAGCCTGCTCTCATAATGACCGTCACACAGTCACTCATAATTTTTTCACATTCTGGCTTTAACTCGCTCCACTCAATCCACATACAGTGAATTACTGTCTTCCACTAATTAATGCTAACCAATTCTCTAACTCTTAACTTGGTATTTTCATAACACACTCCCTCTCTAACTTGAACTCAATACTTCTTTAACTCACTCTGCTCTCTACCTCAGAACGTCTCTTACTGACCCCTTCATTCCAACCCATCAGTTATTTGACTGCCCAGCTCACTTCATCTGAGTCCCCCTTTCTTTCCCAGGCAAGGCCTCATTTATCAACCCCCAGGTAACACTGTAGCNAAATAAATCATGGACTTAAATCAGTGCAACAGGATGCTAAAATATAACTGTAGCACATATTTTTATAACTAGTCACCTGTCGACCCTTTTCTCTGTCACAGAAAGATATTATCACCATATCCTTACTATGTCTATTATCGTTACATGGTTTGTTTTTGGTGAGGGTTCAAGTGTAAATCATCTAGCTGCTAACATTGGATCTGGTCCCTCAAAATACAGTGTGTCCACAAAGTCCCTTCGGGGTTTTGAAAAATTAACACCCGTTAACAGACTTGATGACCTGAAGACCCGTATCAGGAATGTAATCTCAGCTATTCCAGCGGATATGCTCCACAGAACATGGCAAGAGCTCGAATATTGTCTGGACGTTCTATGTGCTACCAAGGGAGCCCATCTCGAGGTCTACTGAGGTCAGTAAGAAACCTCCCGAGTTTCACTATGCTCTGCCACAAACCACATATGGCTAGCTCAATTTGTGTGCATGCCACAATTTTTCAAAACCATGAAGGGACTTTGTACTCTTCCTAATAGATGCAACAAGAGCCGGTGATGAATGCACAGTTACCAGGTACGGAAACAGGATCCCAGCCTTGGTGAAACAAAAGAGCCTGTCTTCAGGAAAATCATTATGACTAAGAGCATAACGGAGGATTGTCTGGCATGGAAGTCACATCTACTGATAACAATGGCATGGCCATCTAAAGAATCGATGCCTCTCATTCTTGATGGAACACAAGTTTCTTAGATAAAATTAAACAATTGTCAGGTGAGGGTTGTACAGTTACAAGTTTTATTTACAACAACAAATATTATAAACAAGTAATACTGGGGGATTTTCTTTTGGACTCAAAAACAGATCTTCAACTTTACATGTGAAGTAATGAGAATATAATTTTCAATTTACAAATTTTCACCCTACGATTTTTATGGAGCTAATTACCTTCATAAATTGAGGGATGTCTGTACTATAAACTGTAGGGATAGGGCCGCACCATAGCTCAAGCGGTTAGTCACTGGCTTCCCACCGCGGTGGCCCAGGTTTGATCCCAGGTCTGGTCAAGTGGGATTTGTGGTGGACAAAGGGGCACTGGGGCAGGTTTTTCCAAGTACTTCGGTTTCCCCTGCCAATCTTCATTCCACCAATTGCTCCACAATCACCCTCACATATTATCTGGGGCTGGTACAATAGACCAGAAGTGGCCACAGTACAAGGCACTTAGTCCCACCCCACTAGCAATAAAAAAAAGTGATGAACTAATGCAACCAGATACTCAAATACATTATTGTCAATAACATGATTCTCAGTATGGGTTTGCTATGGGTGGAAATAACG